TATTTTCACTTTTTAATTCAAATGACTGAATTTAGTTTTTGTTTTACCAATTTATTCAGACGCACAGACGGTGTATTTTGGCAGCTACCCCCCCGCCCCCCCAAAAAAAATGCCTCTCAAAAAGTATTTTGTGTATGGCTGTATCATAGCAATCTTCTTCTTCTTCTCCTTTCGGCACGTCCCTATTCAGGGGTCGCCACAGCGAGTCAGTAATTTCCATCCGCCCCTGTAAACCGTCCTACCAACTCGAATGGTCGTCTTGGCAAAAGTTTTACGCCGGATGCCATTCCTGACGCAACCCTCCCCATTTCTCCGGGCTTGGGACCGGCACTGGGGAACAGTGCACCCCCAGGGGAGGGCACTGCCCCCCAGCGGCTGGGTTGTGGCTGTATCATAGCAATGATCCATCGATATGAAGCCCAGAATTAAAGTTGGGAGTCATTATCGCCCCCTGCAGAACACTGGTGAAACACATCATCTCGGTGGAAAGGATTTTCATTAATGTCTTGTGCTGTATGTGATCTCACCTCGATTAAATATAAAGCTTTTGCGTTTAAAGATTAATTTCAGTGAACCATAATGTCATCTTGATCTGCTTCACCTTGTTTTTTTTTTTCTTTAAATGGTGCTCTGCTACTTACTATGTTGTATGAAGGTGCCGAGAAAATAAATGAGGGTCGAAGCTCAGAGGCACTAACATGTCTGCAGGCTGCTTCCACTCTACCTGCTCCCAGAACTCTTGTGGCATACACGCACCTGCTCTCTGGCTTCTGTCTAGCCCACACGGTAGCCTACCTTTAAAGTGTACACATGTGAATGATGTTGCAAGCATGCATACGTGTATTAAGTGTGTGCATGTTTCCTTTTTTTAAATAGGGCCGTCCTCAGATGGCACTGCAGTGTTTCAGGAAAGCGGTGGAGATAGATTTTCCTAGTGTATGTGCTTTATACCAAAGTTTACTCATCTTCAGGCGCCAAGGCGACACACAGGCGGAGATACAAATGCTTGGTTTGTTGCACTCGGTGAGTGAACTATGAGACATGCACGCTTCTCAGGGTAAATGCTTCTGAAGGATGAAAATAATTCTACTCCCACAGACTCTGATGTCGACTTCCACCACTGAGCCTGGTAAAACCAGTGATCAGCTCCTCTCCTGGTCCGTACTTCTACGGAGTCAAGCCCTGCGCGGCCTGCTCTCTGTCCCAACTGCTCTCTGTGTCCTTCACAGTTTGGCTCAGAAATGTGTGCTGCATTCAAGGTTCACCTGAATCCCTGCTGCTAGAGCACTGTTAAAGGGGCTATGTGTAATAATGGCACCTTGAACTGTTTTGCTTCTGAATCATTTTGATTATGAATTTCTCTTATTTTTGTCACTCCCCAAATATTTTACGTATCCTTGTTAATATACATTAATCAATAGATGTGTGATTGATTCTCTAGGGTTTCTGAAGCTGTGGAGCATTATCTGGACCTGCTGGCTGCTATTCATTCTAAAGAAAACGGAGTAAGGCGAAACACTTTGCACACCTACACTGTAAATACCGAGTCTTCCTTTGTAGCTAGAGCAGTTGGCACTCTTTTGGAAAGACTTTCTGCAAGAAGTTAGAGCAGTGGTGGGCAAAATTTTGTGATCATTCAATCAGACAGATGGGCAAGGTCATTTGTAGAAAAGGGGGCCAGGCGGAAGATAAAATAAGTTAGAAAAATTGTATATTTCAAGAATAAAATAAAATTATGGAAACACTTTATAATCATTTAAGCAATTAATTACCGATAATCAAATAAAAAATAATAAATTTGTATTTAATATGTTATTGTTGTTATTATTAGGGGTATAGCAAAGCAACAATTTAAAAAATTAATAGAGCTTGAATTTTTTTTTATGAACTTAAAATGTCCGGGGAATAAAAGCCAGTTCTTCTGGTTCGTGCGAGGATGGCAGTCTGCTGTCCTGACATTAGTTTATTAAGATGTGAGCCCCAATCATTTGTTCTGCATGGTGTATATTAGAAAGCTTTTGTGCTTCATTATAAAACTGAAAGCTCTCTCTCTGTCCGAGGTATGGTCCGAGGACCCTCACCTCCCCCGATTACCTGAACTTTACCTGGAAGCCGGCACCTCCTTGCTCTTGGCCAAGCGGCCCGTTGATTGTATGACGCTATGTGACGAAGTCATCTCCACGACGGCTGAGCTGCTGCCAGAGCATGTGGTGCTAGAAGAGCCAGAGGAGGGTGTTGAGGCACCAGCTGTGCGCGCTGAAGGTGAACAGGATCAGGTGGCAATGCTGTTTTGGACGGGTGCGGCGTACCTCGTCCAAGGTCACTGCTACTGTCACATGCAGGACTGGAAGCAAGCTGTAACTCACTACACAAGGTTGGTAAAGCAGGACTTATTTCATCTCTACATCTGACCAAATAGTAATTCTGTTTTTCTTCATAGGTGTATAAACCTGCTAGTGAAAGTGCGCTTTAAAGAGAAAGGCAAGTACCTTTGCTAGCCAGACCTTCAAACAAAAATTGTCTGTGCAGAGAAAAACTTACACGTTGACTTATAGGGGGCCAACCTCAAGTCCCCACTGCAGACATGGTTGATGAGAAGAGAACAGATCTTCAGATCTTACAGAGGATGAAGGGGCTCTCGTTAGCTGGGAGGGGCATTAGCTTCGCACACACTGACCAGCTTGGACATGCACTGAGAGATCTCAAGCTAAGCCTGCAGGCTTTTGAAGGTGTGTAGACCTTAAATAGAGCGATAAGTAAGCACTTTTATTTGGCTTTATTTATACTTAGTCGTATACCGCTTCTTCTGAATCATACCTGTGTTCAGTTCACATTACAGTGTGCCGGATCGGTACCGGTCCCTGAGACATTTGGTCTTGCTTTTTTGTTTTGCTTTGTTTTCTTACCGTTATTTAGTTTTTGGTTTTCCGACTTTGATTTGAAAAAAAATTATATGGATTGTTGCATTGTAGCGATTCATATTTGGCTTGCACACATCCAAACAATCAAGAGTAATTAGAAACCATACTTTGTGTATGGTTTCTTATTACACTTGAAGCGAGAGCTATATGAACAAATCTTGAATGACTGCATCATTGTGAAGTCTTTCTAGTATTGTGGTTACCTTATCAGGTGTATAAAATACTCTATTAGAAACTCTTCAGTGGGAAGCAATTCAATTCTACACTGCAAATGACATCCATGATAAACTCTGTTAAATAATTAACTGACAGGTGACTTAAAAAGGAGCATTGTTGTCGTTTTTATGATCAGGTTTCGATAAGCCAATTGCCACCAGAACCTTTCGCAGTAATTCTAGGTGCATCTCTCCATGTCCAGAGTGTGTGGGTGCAGGACTGTGGTGTGGAGAAGTGTTGTGGAGGCTCAACAGGAAACAAGAGGCTGCTGCAATTTGGGAAAAGACATGGAGTATCAGCAAACATTCAGTAGAGTAAGACGCCCAGTACCCTTAAACCTTTTTATACTTCAGTGCATCTGGACAGAGCTATGGTACTTAGTCGTTTGGAAGTACCCAACATGATTCAACGAAATGAATACCAGTAGTTTTGACCAATATTTTTAAACATTTACACATCATAAATCTTTATTCTTTTGTGTGCTGCAGAAAAATTCCTGTGTACTTACGGGAACCCCAGTCTGGACCCATGTTGGACTCTGCAGAGCTTCGCCTCAGAGTACAGGAACTTGATCCCAAATAGCCCACCTTGAGCGATGAAGAAGAATGTCCTTGCAAGTTTTGTCAAATGTTGACAGAAAAAAACTTTGGTTTGTGTAAATATATGCTAGGCTCACAAGATACATTAATGGTGTTTATTTTTTGTGTTTATTTGTGTAGCTGCAAATGAATGTCCAATGAATAAATGTGTTTTATTTGTATCACTGTGTATGAATGTCTAAAGGAAAACACCACATTATCATTTTTTATTTTTAGATAGGCATGAGCACCAAACAAGGTAAGCACCTGTTTCATGTGCCCATTAGAAATACAATACTCAAGGAAAACTAGTACAGTATACGACATGCATGCAGAACACCGCACTCCGTAAAATTGATCACCACCTTCCAGCCCATGCTCCTTATAGTAAGGGTGACTCGGACATCAGAAATGAAAAAGCAAAAATGCATTTTGCTCTTTGTGTATGATCTGAAATGTTAACTCACTGCATCAAATGAGGACTAAAATAATGTTCTTAAGTGCTGTCAGGAATAACATAACTATCTAAATGGACACTTAGGTGACTTCATTCATGATGCAAGCATGAATGCATGCACTATTATTGTTTACGACATGGCCGACCGTCGTGAGGATAAGCGGCTCGGAGAATGGATCGATGTTGCTGTGTGTGTTCTTCAATTGACTTAACTATAGTGTTCATTTTGGTAAACTGTTAGCACACAAATGTTGCCTGGATTATTTGGGGGCTCGGAGCACACGTTTGAATTGGAACTCAACCATTATTATACTTTATTTGGTTTTGTAACAATTCGCCAGGAAATCAGAGCCACTCTGACGTACCGACACATACACGTTGACCACGAGATGCACAACAATCAAAGAACTCGCGTTATGCTGACGTCTGAGACATGACAGAGCTCCGCAAGTGACACGCTTCTCGTAGATGTGTTTCACGGGTTTGGTCGGAAACTAAACACGCAAGTTACGCGTTTCGGTTATTAATGTTCTTATTAATTTGCTAAGATTTATCGCATAACTGCGAAAAATAAGGGTGGGGGTATGTTTTAAGATTTATCAATTCTTTAACGCGGTATGCGCTCATTGGTTTACCATACGTTTACCCACTGTTTTAACTGACCAATTATATCAAAGTAGGCGGACCATAGGTGCAGTTTATACTTCTGCTATTGGCCAACGGAATACGCTACTCAACGCGACGTCACAGACCTCTGCTTTTCTATTGGTCAACTAATTTGATGAACGGCATCAACCAATTAGAATCAATGGAGCATCAAGCGATCTGTACACCAGAATAGAAAAGCACGGAAACCTCTGGACATTCGTGTGGTATTTCGCGACGTAGGAAAACGAAAGCCGGCGAAGCAGCACAAATTTAGCTAGATTTCCAATATTTATTGTTGTAACCCAGGTGGACAACCATGGCATCGGGAGGGGAGTAAGTAGACACGTTAATCTATGTTTTTAGACATTATGTTTTGAACAGTAATAACAAACGTGTCCTCAGCATTTACAAGTTTATAAAAGTTAGCCCGAGTGCTAACACAATTAGCTACAAAGCTAACGGGGTCAGTTACTTGTCCACTGGCTGCATTAGCGACAACATTTCAAAATCTACCGACAGTGAAGTGTTATCCCGATCATATATTACACATTGTCAGTCAGACTGGTGCGATTCCCACCCCTGTCGTTTAGTAGTTCAACGTTTTCGGCAAACAGTGTTGTGACAACGGCTTGACAAAGCACAGTCATTGGTGTCGGGTTGTTGTGCGTCTTAGCTTAGCAACCCCTTCAAGGCCAAAGCCATCCACCATTACACAGAGGTGGCCTTTAACACCGAGGCAAACACAATCTACCGGCTCAGAGCCCGTCTAACATGGGCCTGAAAATGAGGACTAGTAGATGTTAATGTTACGCCAAATAATGTATTGAGTCAATAATAACCTGGTAGCCACTAGCGTCACATCCACTCTCAATAGTGCCGCAAAGCTAACTGGTTAGCACGATTAGCATTTATACCCAGCGACCAAGTTAACACTAAAGGTGTAATATTGTTTCACTGAGCGAATGTACGACACACATTGAAATCAAGCGTGGGAAACGACACAATCGGCTAGTGAGAAACGTACATATATATATTTTTGTTTAGATCGAGAAAGCTATCCAAAGTTTTTCTTCTCGATTCTTTTGCTGTGTCATCTGGGCTCGCTTGCTCGCCCGTCACTTAGCGTCGAGGCTAACATTGGCGAGCTAACGACCTGGAAACGCATTCTAAAAGCAAAGCACGGATACCCAAAAACAGAATCTTTTGGGAATATGGCTGTTTTAAGTTGTTCTTCTTGACCGCACATCAGTTATGCCAGTCATCTCAAACTTAGGCTAACGGCAGAAAACAGTTTGTTGACACGTTCAGTAAATTTGTATCCTATTTTTAATAGGTGAGTCAGGAAAAAACAGTGGGATTTATGAATATTGAACCCTCACTTCTTCTAAAGTTTAAGATACAATATTCCTTGAATGCAAATTGTATAGTCCACGTGTTTGGATTTGGGTATGCAATGATGTTACTCAAGTGACTAAGCAGATAACATTTTTATCTGCTTATTGTTAACACGCTGGAACCTAAATCCTATTTAATGTGTTAATACAACCCATGTTTTTTTTTCCTCTTCTAGATCAAAAAATGATGACCTAGCTACTGCAATTCTCAAACAGAAGAACAGGCCCAACAGATTGATTGTGGATGAGTCTATTAATGAAGACAACAGTGTTGTGTCTCTCTCTCAGGTACACAGATTGTCTAGATGAGTGCTGTTTGAATTTTATGAACATTGTCAGTGGAGTCAAATCTATCTAATATTTCCTCCAGACCAAGATGGATGAACTGCAGCTCTTCCGTGGTGACACAGTACTGATGAAGGGCAAAAAGAGACGCGAGACTGTGTGCATTGTGTTGTCTGATGATACATGCTCTGATGAAAAAGTTCGAATGAACAGGGTGGTCCGCAACAACCTGAGGGTCCGACTGGGTGATGTCATCAGGTGGGGGAATGGTGCACATCTGTCTTGGCTTCTTGTTAATCTTGGATAAAAAGAGTCCAATGTTTTCCCTCAGCATTCAGCCATGTCCTGATGTAAAGTATGGAAAGAGGATCCATGTTCTTCCAATAGATGACACAGTAGAGGGAATCACTGGCAACCTGTTTGAGGTTTATCTCAAGCCATATTTTCTTGAGGCTTACAGGCCCATTCGCAAAGGTTAGTGCTAGCTAGATCTGACTACTAATTGATAATTATTTTCTGTGAGTTGTAACTTTCAATAAACATTACCTGATTTATTTGGAAGGTGATATTTTCCTCGTCCGAGGAGGGATGCGCGCCGTGGAATTCAAAGTGGTTGAAACTGATCCTTTGCCCTACTGCATCGTTGCTCCTGACACTGTCATTCATTGTGAAGGCGAGCCAATCAGGAGAGAGGTGAGCACTAAATCATCACGCTGTCCGTTACTGTATTCACAATTTTGATTAAAATTGCAGGATGAAGAGGAGTCTTTGAATGAGGTTGGCTATGATGACATTGGTGGAGTGAGGAAGCAGCTGGCTCAGATCAAAGAAATGGTGGAACTTCCACTTCGGCACCCTGCACTGTTTAAGGCCATTGGTGTCAAGGTATGCATTTATTTGATTGTCCTTGTGTTACTGCTGTTACATCTTAGTTTAGGCTTAATAGTAGCTGTGGGAATCTGATATGATATGATTTTATACTGCGGGAGGGGAAAAAATGTCCACGCTAGATCTCGTTTCTTGATAAGTCAATTGCAAACGTGTAGAAACTGTATTGTACATTTGCCATACGACAAAATATAATTGACAAAAATACACCTTGTGTTGCCATAGTAATAGTTAGTGGATTATTAAATGTTTTATTCAGCAAAGACAAAAAGTTCATTCACTGCTAAGTGTTGCGTAAAACACCACACGACAGCTATGAGATTCTCTTCAAATTCACTTCCAGAGCATTATGCCCACAATTGTGGCCAGGTTTACAATGTGCACCGGTAAAAATTTCATTCATTCACATGAGCGAGAACGCATCTTTTAATTTGTGGTGCAACAAATTCTCTTTAATTTGTTATCGGTACCGATAACGTGCCATGGTTCGGCCCGCACATGGACTGCGTATTGGTTGGTGGGGAAAATAAATAAGTACTGTAACATTATTTTTAAAAACAAATCTTTTGGTGCAATACGCCTTTTTTGCTGTCCTGGATATAGATACATTAAAAAATCAGTGTGTTTAAAAAAACAAATACAAATAAAAAAGGTTAAATGTTTAGGTTCGGTTTTTCAAAAGTGTTTGAAAATGTTAAATGTATTTTTCTATTTTATCAAAACGTTTCTGATTATTCTAATGGTATTTTTAATTTAAAAAAATAACATGAATTTTAAGTGGTTTAGCTATCTTTTAAGTGGTTTAGCTATCAGCCGTTATTTGACTGCTTTTTACTTATATGCTTGCCATGGTGTCGTTTCAGTACTAGTACTGAGATATTTTATGCCACGCATAATTGAAGTCAAAATTTTGGTATGGTGACAGCACGAGTTGCTACCGATCCATTTTGAAAAAAACACGTACTCACGTGTGCTGATTTAGTAGGCAAATGCACTAATGTGGTTCTGCCGTCACTTTGTCCCATAGTCCAAAATGTTATCTCATAAAGGGGCTATGAGATCTATGAAAACTGGTGCAGGTACTGCCAGAAGTCGTGATAGAAGTGATAGAGAGACCCAGTACTCACATTTCAGTCACATCAGATCATGTAAAATTAAAAGCTCAGGTATGCTTTGCTCTCTTTTCTTCTTTTCCTAATGATTATTACATAAAAATAATTTTATATTGTTTCCTTGCTTTGAACATTCAATTCTTCAGCAGTATCCACTTTTAACACAAAAATGAATGTGATGTATAAGTAATATAAATAAAAGCAAAATATGAATCAAATTAAAAAATACAATATTAACCACAACAAACTGGCACGCCTTAAAATGAATTCCCATTAAATGGACATTAAAGTTGAAATGTTTAATGTAAATCAATATTTTGGGGCCAGACTTGATTGATTCTGATGATAGGCAGGCTGTGAAGCTTTGGTTTTTCCCAAGGGGAAGAGGTCGCAGAGGCCTCACTGGAAGAGCTGGCCCCGCTTCTTTGAACAAAATAATAAAGCCCTTTTTTTCCCCCAAATGTCTTCTTTTAATGTTATTATTAACGTGAAATAATTGACCTATTTTGCCAGCCGCTTCTTGTTGTGTATGGTTTGTTAAAGTAAATTGTATATAAAATATAGTCACTTGTCCTGCAGTTGGGTGGCAACCAGTTCAGGGTGTCCCCCGCCTCCTCCCCGAAGACAGCTGGCTAGGCTCCAGCACCACCCCTTCTTTTTTTCCCCCCTCAGAAAAGCGGATTAGAAAATGGATGAATGGCTCTTAAATCATCTTAAACATTATGCCAATTGAGATAACTATATATCAGTAAACGTGGTCATGTTTTACTCTCCCCAAAATTATGTGACCAAATCCTGCGTGGTGCGGCCAACTGAAAAAGTTGGGTCGCACCAGTGCCATCATTGCAAAAGTTACTGTAATGCTCTGAGTTATTCACAAATTATCATTACATATTGTTCTGATACTGGTGTATCGTCACCCTACCATGACATACATACAATGTGAGTACTGTATTATCCTACTTGATACTTGTCCTACGAGCACATTCTGTTAATCTATTGCTTTCTCCAGCCCCCACGTGGAATCCTTCTCTATGGACCCCCTGGAACTGGAAAGACCTTGATTGCCAGGGCTGTGGCCAATGAAACTGGAGCCTTCTTCTTCCTGATCAATGGTATGGAGACAGTTCAGATTAAATCCTACCTGTATGCATACTATTTCCTATTTAGGAGGACTTCATTATCGAGCTTGGTGCATCACTGTATGGGAATGTATTGTCATTAGAACTGGCGAGAGGAGTTCCTTTTTTCACAACACTTGTCATTTGTCTCTCATAAAAATGGTGTCAGTGTGATTTCATTTCAGATGATGTGCATCTCAGACTACTTTAAAACATTCCTGCGACCTTGAAGATATTTGTCATTTTATTAAAAAAAAAATCTGCATTCCTCTCATGAAAATGTTTGTTTCTAAAGGCCCTGAGATTATGAGCAAGCTGGCCGGAGAGAGCGAGAGTAACCTCAGGAAGGCCTTTGAGGAAGCAGAGAAAAATGCTCCTGCCATCATCTTCATTGATGAGCTTGATGCTATTGCTCCTAAGAGAGAGAAGGTGAGCCAAAGAGAGAGAGGATTATAGTATCGAAATGGCCATTAATAAATCATATACTGTCTCTCTCACTTTCTCTCTGTTCAAAAAACAACTTTGTGCGGTGTATATATCTTTAATTCCATTTAAATGCTGCCTACATGTGTTGTGCTGCGAAAATGTCTTTTTGTAGACCCATGGAGAGGTGGAGAGGCGCATTGTCTCACAGCTGCTGACTCTGATGGATGGCCTCAAACAGAGAGCTCATGTCATCGTCATGGCCGCCACAAACAGACCGAACAGCATCGACCCGGCTCTGAGGAGATTTGGTAACGAACAAAACAAAGCAGCGACGTTCATGTTCCCGCCGTTAATCAAGTTGACGTTCAATTGAACTAATAAGAATTTGTAAATGTCCTCAGGTCGTTTTGATCGGGAAGTGGACATTGGCATTCCAGATGCCACTGGCAGGCTAGAGATTCTCCAGATTCACACCAAAAACATGAAGCTTGCTGATGATGTGGACTTGGAACAGGTTTGTACTTCAAGTAATGTATCAACAGGATTCGTTTTATGATTAGATTGTTGAATGACCACAGTGAATGGAATAAACGGTAGCTTGATGATGTTGATTATGTTTATGCTCAGTGATTGCCAGTTGATTGAGATGTGCGTTTGCTTTGGCAGGTAGCCAATGAGACCCATGGTCACGTGGGCGCAGATCTGGCTGCCCTGTGCTCTGAGGCGGCACTGCAAGCCATCAGAAAGAAGATGGACCTGATTGATCTGGAGGATGAGACCATCGATGCTGAAGTCATGAATTCTCTCGCCGTCACCATGGATGACTTCAAGGTAAAGGATCTTAGATGGTGGGCAATATTCAGATGTTTTTTTTTTTTTAATGACATTCACTAACTTAAGTAAATGAAATGTTCAGTGGGCTCTGAGCCAGAGCAACCCATCAGCTCTCAGAGAGACAGTTGTCGAGGTTCCTAACATTACTTGGGAGGATATTGGTGGACTGGAAGATGTCAAGAGAGAGCTGCAAGAGTTGGTACAGGTATGGAAACCCGATAAAACCGAAACATCCATCAGAGTGCAATTTGCAAGCAGTCATAAATTGTATGTCTTCCTCAAACCTCTTGAATTCAGTACCCAGTGGAGCACCCGGACAAGTTCCTCAAGTTTGGCATGACCCCATCCAAGGGCGTGCTTTTCTATGGGCCTCCCGGTTGTGGTAAAACTCTGCTGGCCAAAGCCATCGCCAACGAGTGCCAGGCAAATTTCATCTCTATCAAAGGACCAGAGTTGCTCACCATGTGGTTTGGAGAGTCTGAGGCAAACGTCAGAGAGATTTTTGACAAGGTTGGTGACCCTGTTGTTGTGATCAAGATGATTTCACATCTTCACAAATGTTCACGGTCCTTAATAAAAACCCGATCTGTATACATCCAGGCTCGTCAAGCGGCCCCTTGCGTTCTTTTCTTTGACGAGCTGGACTCCATAGCAAAGGCTCGCGGCGGCAACGTCGGAGATGGCGGCGGAGCGGCCGACCGCGTCATCAACCAGATCCTGACCGAGATGGATGGCATGTCCAGCAAGAAGAACGTCTTCATCATCGGCGCCACAAACAGACCCGACATCATTGACCCCGCCATCCTGAGACCTGGACGTCTGGACCAACTCATCTACATCCCCCTGCCTGACGAGAAGAGCCGAATGAGCATCCTGAAGGCCAACCTCCGCAAGAGTCCCATCAGCGAGGTGAACTTTATCATTCCATTGTAAACACATCAGTAGGTGGAAATTGTGGGCATAGAGACCATACATAAAAAGATCTTTAAAATAGTCTTACTACTGCCACATTTAAAATACAGTTAAACTTATTTAAACACCATGGGTGTTCCGATCAGGGTTTTATGCTGCCAATATCAATACCGATCATCCATGAGTGACATTTTGACGCTTGTTTTCCACTGGAAATGACAAATCACGGTGCCTAAAGGTTTGGGTAATGACCCATCACAGCTCACCTGTTTTCTGAGTTGGGCCATGTGACATTTGCCAGATGGTCCTGAGATGGATAAAAACAGAAAAAAAAAGGTGGATTTTGCTTCGTAATTCAAAGTCCACACACGCAATATTAACCGTAATGCCATGTTCACACTTGTGAGGGGTGCATAGAACATATTGTTTATAAATTTTTGACTCGACTTCCCTTTTTAAATATTTTACTATACAGCGCAGTTTCTCTTTCAAATAGATTTCTGTTCCAGTGGTGGTGACGTAGCCCAAGCTTGTATGCAAGTTGGAATGTACTGTTTGTATATCACGAACCAGCATTAACACAGTAGAAAAGTTCATTTGTATTAAAAACATTTCTGGGTCATAAATACCAATCGCATTGAAAAACTGTGAAATAGGACATAAACCGAGTGCCTCACCATCTGCGGTGTAGCGGGGGAACACCACTGTAAAGTCTGTCATCCAAAACACTGCATCTTGGATAATGCCTTCCTTCATCAGAGCTTTGTTTCCTCTCAAATGTCATCCTAGGATGTCAACCTGGACTACCTGGCGAAGATGACCAATGGCTTCTCTGGAGCTGACCTCACAGAGATCTGCCAGCGGGCGTGTAAACTGGCCATCAGGGAGAGCATCGAAAACGAGATCCGCAGAGAGAGGGAGAGGCAGACCAATCCTTTAGCCATGGTCAGACAACCTCGCCCTCCTCCCCTTCTCTCAGCCACCATCAGTGATGTTCAGTGTAGTGCCAACACGTGTTTATGTCGTAGGAGGTGGAAGAAGATGACCCCGTGCCAGAGATCAGGAAGGACCATTTCGAGGAGGCCATGCGATTCGCCCGCCGCTCCGTCAGCGACAATGACATCCGCAAATATGAGATGTTTGCACAGACGCTGCAGCAGAGTCGTGGCTTCGGCAGCTTTAGGTACACTATAGCACCTCACTCGTGAACAGGTTTAGATTCCGATCAGTTTTTCTTTTGGGGCACCATTTTAGAAGAGTAATGCAGCGGTTTTAGAGATTATATCTAATTCACAGATTATGTCCTCCAAAAATACACCAGCATGTAATCCTCTTACAAAATGTGCACCCATGTTTCTCTAAACCAGACCTAGGCAAGGGTAGGGGTAGCAGGCCACATCCGGGTGGTCCCTCGTGTATTGGCAAGATTGCCTTCGTCCTGATGAATGATTGGCAAGTCCCAACTCGGAATGGCTCATATGAGTTCGCAGTTGGTGCTCATAATATCAGATCACTTTAGAAAAACGTTTTATTACCAATTGCAACGATGCACATGTCGATGTTTTTGCAAAGGTTGATGAGTAATATATTCTGAGGGAATAGCAGTCTAATTCAGTTGTGGTTAGATGACACAAACTGATGACAAAGCACTAATTTAGTTGAGATTAAACTTGTATCAACATGCAGTAGCTCCTTGACACCAAGTTGCATATGATGACAGTCTAAACCAGGGGTGTCAAACGTACGGCCCGCGGGCCGGATCCGGCCCGCAAAGGACTTTAATCCGGCCCGCGAGATGATTATGTAAAGCAGTCGTGTCAAACATACGGTCCGCGGGCCGTTCAATCAGGCCCCACAGGATAATTTAAAAGTGAAGAAAATGCATAAAAGACACAGATTAAATATTTTTAATAAGGTGCAATTCATTGAGTATCCGCTAGGGACACTGTTTTGATCAGAGAAGAAGACAACAGCAGCCTCAGTCCATCACTGAGACAGACCCATGACAGCAGACGCTATCAATAGCACTCTCACATTTACACATTTAATAGCACGCTCCTTAGTTTGTAAGGTGTAGGCAGGGATTACATTTAGATTTTATATGCACGTGTAAATGCTTTAAAACTTGCTTTCTTTATGAATCTTGTTTAATCTTAAAGTGCATTCCTATCCCAACTCGGAATGGCTCATATGAGTTCGCAGTTGGTGCTCATAATATCAGATCACTTTAGAAAAACGTTTTATTACCAATTGCAACGATGCACATGTCGATGTTTTTGCAAAGGTTGATGAGTAATATATTCTGAGGGAATAGCAGTCTAATTCAGTTGTGGTTAGATGACACAAACTGATGACAAAGCACTAATTTAGTTGAGATTAAACTTGTATCAACATGCAGTAGCTCCTTGACACCAAGTTGCATATGATGACAGTCTAAACAAAACGTCTATATTCACTTTAAAATATTTTCTTGGCTCAAGATGATACAAGGCCAAGTAAAACTTTTTTAAAATGTTCATAATTTCACTACAAAGGTAAAATTACATGATGATTATGGGTTAAAAAAAGTTTGAAAATGACTTGGGGATTTATTTCTTGCAATGTGATTTATGTACGAGATTTTATTCTGAATTCATACTAATGACCGTTTAGGATTTTGGTTCAATTACTAATTTACGGCTTTTTGTGAAGAAATTCATGTTGAACACAACTGAGGTTAGCATGTTGGCGTGTCCTGTTTCTCACGTGGGCCCTGGGCCTAAACGCTTCCGCCTTGTTTTCAGGTTCCCCAACAGCACCACAGGCGGCAGCGGTCCAAGCCACGGCACAGGAGGAAGTGGCACAGGTCCCGTTTTCAATGAAAATAATGACGATGACCTTTATGGATAAAATGTACACACTGCCCCATAGTGGTCAGCACAGGGATGACACCTGTACAAATTCTCACCAGATTCCACCTTTTTAGGACTTTGTGCTTCTCTTTTTTTTTTTTGTGTTACTACGTTTTTGTTTTTTGTATGAGTTCCCTTGGAGACAGCATGCTGCCACTTGGCTTGCCCTGGCTTTGTTGTGGGCGGGGAAGGGGATGTTTGCAAATGGAAGGTGAGTACCTTAATGGAGCTTTTCCAGTGGGGAAGGGGGGCAGGGGGATTATTGAGTGGCCTCATTTTCAGTATACTATGATACAGTTAGTGGCGGGATTCTATGCTAGACCTTGAGACATGGCGGAAAAATAAATTGCAAAATTTACTTTGTTGTTTTTTAAAATAAAACAGTAGCATATAATGTTATTAAATTTGTCAAGGTTATGTTGTTGAAAATAAAATCTCACAAGTGTTCAACATGTCTTGGGTTCACATGATTTTAATGACACATTTCATGTCTATCCTCTGTTGGTGTGATCCAAACGCAAGGTGTGACACTGCTGCTGGCAATTCTGCTGCTGACTGCACGGTGTCACGCTGCAACAGGGTTTGATCAGGGAAATTTGGAAAGTCTATTCCTGCACTCCCAATTGACATTTGGCCCACGATGCATCTGTGCCAGCCCCAACATTTTTTGGGCAGACTGAGAGTCTGCCAATTGTCAGAACTGTCTGTTAGGAAGCTTTAAGTGAGCTGTGGTTGATCTTAATGTTGTGTCAATGCCACACACAGACTCTACAACTTTCAATCGTGTGATAGCATTCAACATTTTTGTGCTGTTAAACTCCTTAAATGAGCTTGTTGAAACAGCCGAAGCTGTACATCAAGCAAGAATGGGAAAGAATTCCAACTGCAAAGCTTCAACAATTAGTGTCCTCCAATCCCAAACGTTTGTTAAAAGAAAAGGTGATGTAACACAGTGGTAAACATGACCTTGTCCGAGCTGCTTTGGAACGTGTTGCAGCCATAACATTCTAAATTCATGATTATTTGCTAAAAACAAGTTTTATCAGTTTGAATCAAATATCTTCTCTTTGTAATGCATTCATTTGAAAATAGGATGACCATAATTTGCAAATCATTGGATTCTGTTTTTGTTTCACACAACGTCTCAACTTCATTTGGAAGCGCCTTTGTACAAAAATGCTCTGCTCCGAATTGAGTGGAGGGAAAAGATGATTTTGTGTTGACTCAGTAAGGGTCACTGAAGGGGAAATGAGGGTGTTCAGCATCTCGCCAAAGTCTCTTGTTGTCCCTCTGCGGAAAAGCAAATTGGTCGAGTCACTGAGAACATATCCACTGCCATGTTGCGCGAGTGCATGCATGGCGCTCACCTCGACTGTTGGGACGATGAAGCGTTGGCTGCGATTTAAGGCGTCCACTAGCTTCACGTCCTCCTCTAACAGGGCAAAGTCAAAAAGCTGCAGGTTCTGCTGGATCCTGGAAGGGGTCACGCTTTTGGGGATGCACACGACGCCCCTCTGAATGTGCCACCTGCAGATCGTAATTGACAGCATTTGACACGCGTACACATCCCGGCCGCCACATTGGATGAACCCGTTTAATCGTTCTTATCTTGGCAAAAAGAGGTATGAAAATAGTCATATAACAAGGTATGTATGTTAATATACCGTATGTTTACACAGCTTTGGTGTTGGATCTCATTAGATTTTTCGAATGGTTTGAAATTGAAACCCTCCAACCTGAGTATGATCTGTGCAGCTGTCTTGTGGTATCGTTGAGCTATTTCTCCCAGTCGGGGATCCTGCAGCAGACAAGGTTCCTCGGTGGAGGCCCAGGGTCGATCCCCGCTGCCCAGAGGACTGTAGGCTGTCAGGCAAACTGCCACTGACCTGAGGCACATGTTTGAGTGCAGCCTCTGCTTTGAATAGAAAACAAAGGGTGGGGATCCAGCGTTGATACTCACCGACAGTGAGCCAGCAAATCTGCTTGGGACAAATATGGATGGCATTCCACCTGCAGCAAGAGAGACACGAAAACTATGTTTTTGAATCTGGATGCTCACAATGTTCTGAGCATCTGACAGTTCCTTTGATGCTGACATGTGTTGGGTATACTAAAAATGACGAATTGATTGATTGAATAAATAAGCACAAAGATAGAAAAATTTAAATGGAAAGAAAGCAAAAAATCAGCTGTAGATATCAGCGCAGTTTACAGGTTCAAATCCAGCAATGGCTCAGTCCCTTTTAGACCTGCCTGGAGCATAGAGCGATTCATTTTTAACAAACCAGGCGTGTAATGTTGTTAGTAAAATGAGTACTTTTAACCACAGTTATATTGATAACTTTAAATCCTTGACCCATGTGCTGGGTATACTAAAAATGACTAATTGATTGAACAAATAAGCACAAAGATAGAAAAATTTCAATGGAAAGAAAGCAAAAAATCAGCAATAGATATCAGCGCAGTTTACATGTTCAAATCCAGCAATGGCTCAGTCCCTTTTAGACCCAGCGCTGCGTTAGCAATTTCACCAACTTTAGGTTATTTTTAACCCAGCAGTTCTAAGAGCGAGTGGAGATAGTTTTGGTTTACCTGGTTGACCACAGGCTGGTGTCTGGCCATTCTGATGATGTCATCCATCTGCCTTGCATTGAAGTTGGACAGCCCAATGGCCTTGACTAGGCCTCTGTCCACGAGGTCCTCCATGGCGGCCCAAGTCTCCGTGTAGTGCGTGTCAGAGTAACACACACTTCCATCTTCATGCCGAGGCATCAGGTCCTTTCCCGGTCTGAACATATGAAGAACACGCAACATGACTCATACATACAGTGCGGTGGAATGAGCACGCTGCGTTAGCAATTTCACCGACTTTGGGTTATTTTTAACCCAGCAGTTCTAAGAGCGTGTGGAGATAGTTTTGGTTTACCTGGTTGACCACAGGCTGGTGTCTGGCCATTCTGATGATGTCATCCATCTGCCTTGCATTGAAGTTGGACAGCCCAATGGCCTTGACTAGGCCTCTGTCCACGAGGTCCTCCATGGCGGCCCAAGTCTCCGTGTAGTGCGTGTCAGAGTAACACACACTTCCATCTTCATGCCGAGGCATCAGGTCCTTTCCCGGTCTGAACATATGAAGAACACGCAACATGACTCATACATACAGTGCGGTGGAATGAGCTGCAACCACCCACTGAAAGGCCATGGGCCAGTGCATCAGATAGAGGTCCACGTAGGAGAGACCCAAGTGGGCCAGGGTGGTCCTGCACGCTTTCTCGACATCTGAGGGCTCATGTTTGGTGTTCCACAGTTTAGACGTTACAAACACTTGGTCACGACGCAAAGCCTGCAGGTAATACAACAAACAAACACTTGGGTCACATTTCCTGTTGCGTTAATGGAGCTCACAATTTGTTGAGCTTTCATCTATTGCCAGCTTGCCAAAAACCCTCATGGGAGTACGCAGCATAGAAAATGTCGACAAAACAAAAAGGCATCCGCTATAGTTTGCACAGTTGCCTACCGCCCACCGTCCTGTCTCCCCTTCCAGCTCCCTGTATCTGCTCACCCATCCCCTCTCTGCTCAGCTGAGAAGGAGAAAATCAAAGTGGCCGGCCTAGGCGGCTCGTTAAGTGATCTCTCTGCAAGCAGCCAATCAAATTTCAGCCAATAACGTCCTCTCAAAAAGAAAAGAAAAGCTTATTACTGGTGTTTTACTGGACAGTTTTAGCAGAAAGTGAAACCATGACATTTTAAAACCACGGTAAACCGTCAAATGACCAAATTACTAATTTTAACATAGTTGATTCTTATTTGAGCCAACCGCTTCACCCACCCCGCCAAAACCAAATAAGACTGACATCCAATTTATTTCCTTTAAATTTTAACATACCTGATTCTTATTAAAGCCAAGCCCTTCACCCATCCCCCCAAACCAAATAAGACTGACATCCAATTTATTTCCTTTTTTTGTCATTTAATATCCTGAAGTTGAGTTGATTTGTATTGAAGGTTAAATTGATCAGATAATTTCAAAACAAGAAAAATCACGAGGCTTTGTATGAACAAAATAAACAAACAAAAAGAGCTCAACAATATGGACGTGGGCGAATCTGCAGATTTAAATTGAAATAGGTGACTTTACTAAATACTTGACAACATCACCTTGCCCGGACCGACCCTGAGAGCCAAAGCCTCTCCCACCTCCTCTTCATTGCCATACGCTGCCGCGCAGTCGATGTGTCGATAGCCACAATCCAAAGCAGTCAGCACAGCCTGTTTCACCTGAAAAGAAACCAATTGTGTCAGCATAACCATTCAGAACATGACATTAAGTATAGAATTTGTGATCCAGCACCAGTAATAGTGCAATGTCCATTGAGTACATAATTGCCTCTACCTGTCCCGGCGCACTTTTCCACGTTCCGAGCCCAACCGTGGGCATCTTCTGGCCTGTCCTCAATGTCATGAAGGTGCTCATGTTCCACTTCTGTGCAGTTGACACATAAAGTGAAAGTGCGTCCAGTCACCTCCCCATGCCTGGGTGGGTTTTCTCCGGGTAACCCGGGTTTCCTCCCACATTCCAAAAACATTACATGGTAGGTTCACTGAACCATCAAAATTGTCCAGAGATTTGACTGTGAGAGCAAATGTGAATGTTTGATTGGCTGGCAAGCAGTTCAGGTTGTACCCCGCTTATTGCACAAAGACGACTGGGATAGGCTGCAGCACATCTATCTATCCATCCATCCATCAAGAGATTTGACTGTGAGAGCAAATGTGACTGTTTGATTGGCTGGCAAGCAGTTCAGGTTATACCCCGCTTATTGCACGAAGACGACTGGGATCGGCTGCAGCACATCTATCTATCCATCCATCCATCAATTTTCTGATCCGCTTATCCTCACAAGCATCGCGGGGTGTGCTGGAGTTTATCCCAGCTGTCTTCGGGCAGGAGGTGGGGGGACACCCTGAACCGGTTGCCAGCCAATCGCAGGGCACAGGGACAAACAACTATTGACACTCACAATCACACCTAAGGACCATTTAGAGTGTTCAACCAGCCTGCCATGCATGTTTTTGGAATGTGGGAGGAAACTGGAGTACCCGGAGAAAACCCACGGAGGCACGGGGAGAACATGCAAACTCCACACAGGAAGGCTGGAATCGAACCCTGGACCTCTGCACTGTGAGGCCGACGCACTAACCAGTCAACTACTCTCTCTCTCTCTCTCTTTCTCTCTCTGGAAAAATATACGTGGCCATCTGAAAATTCTACTTAAGTACAGCAACAATAGTATTTGTACTTTGTTACTTCCCACTACTGAGTGGCAACCACTTGTGAACCCAGTAATCCTTGGACAAAGCATAAGGCTGATGAACTCCATTCAACCTGGCAAGAGCATAAAGTATTTTATTTAACTTTGCTTGGCTATGTGTGTTTTGGAGATATAAATGGACATACAGTAATTGCAACCTCAGTGAACTCTGCCTGCTTGCTAGAAATAGCCGAAGCAGCGAGAACGCATTAGTGACGGCAAGTTAGTGTCGCTCATCTCAGCAGACTTCCCATGCTTCAGTATTCATGTGCACTCAGAAGCACACGATTTGAATTGGTCTGAACACAAGTCACGTGTTCCGTCCGACTGCTTTGGATTGCAAAAAAGTGATCAAAATGGCATGGTCCTACCTGGATCTACTTTTTCTTTGGTACTCTCGTGATCCCGCGCAGAAGAAAAAAATGTCTGTATGGTTTTTAACAGACTAAGGTCAAAGTCTTCCAAACTTGTTTATCTGTAACCGAAGCTGATGTCCAAACTCCATGGAGCTCACCACATCAGTGCACAGGCTGTCAAAAAAAAGTCTGGATGCAATTCTTAGTTTTTCCTCAGTTACTTAAGTACATTTCTCAGATCTGAATTGGAATTCCCAAAACTACTTTGTCAATTGGTGCAATATAGTGACAGTTGTGCATATAAAAACTATTCCTTTTTTAAATTTTTACGTCCAACGTTGACATTTCTTCTTTTTGGGGGGTGGAGGGGTTGTAACGTAGGACAGTCTTTTCCTGTCTGTCCTGCAATGAGATGGACTGCCAGCAAATTAGAGTACTAACACTGAAAATTTAAAGGCAAAACTTTAGCCATTGTTTACATCATGACATCCTTTCAGAGTACACTATTATCTAGGCAACATGACTCAACTGCCTTCAGAGCTGAATGAAGCATTTTGAGCACAACTGGCATTTGCAGGTCGCCAAGATGTCATACTATTTGCTCAAATAATTTTGAGAAATGCACTTATTGTTTTGTAAATGTCAAAGACAATTCAAGAAATGGACCAAAGCACTTTGTGAAATCAAGGGTCCAATTTTCGTAAGTGTACAAAGCACAGGCTAACTGTGCCTGGGTGGAATTTTTGTTCTTTTGATATTTTCCGAGCCTTTGCACATGTAGAAATGGGCCTAATCGGTCCATTTTTGCCATTGAGGAATGGAACAGATCCGACTCCCGGACAACAACAACAAAAAAACATCTGTTTGAGTCTCTGTCCAAGTGCCCAACAGAACTTGAATATTAACATATTAATGTTAACACCATATTAATGTTAATACAACCTTTCCCAGCATGTCCACCATGATTTTCACCAACATAGTATGGTTATGACAATGCAATGTGGTATAGGAATAATTTTGAATCTGTTATTTCAGGCAATAATTTTGACACATTTCTATAATAACACACCATACCATCGGCTTCAAACATTTGATTTATTTGTTGCCATTTTATAACAAAGAATATTGCCAAACGCACACAAGCGGTGAGTCTTTCAGCAGCGGCATACAGTACGTGCATTCTGGCTGCAGCCAAGGTCACATTAGGACACACCTTTTATCATTCAGGCCTACTTTAGTTACTTTCTGTCAAGTGCATTTATGGTTACACTGATCAATAAATTCGGACTATTTATTTTTAATCAGAGATGCGAGTACACTTTTCAAGATGAGTGTTTTTGCCCTAAGTCTGAATCTGCCCTTGTTTTTTTCTCGAGCACATGAGGTTTTTACAACAACAAAACAACAAATAATAATAGTTCTTATTATTATATTAACAATAATATAATAGGAAATACAGTATATTTCGTAAACTTTACGAAGTTCAGCAACAGCTGATTACAAAGCATAGTAAAATTCATACCGTGCGAGTTTTATAGGTCAAACTTCAAAACCAAAAATGAGGATATCTCAAAAACTTGACTTGCTAGGAAAAACATGACTGTCTTAAAATCAGCATAAAAAATACATTAAGCGACACACCAAACCATCTCTGATTAAAATTTGTAGTTGATCAGTGTTATTGATCGGGGTGTTTTCCCGAAACAATACGGTGCACAATCACTGGCCACTTCATTGAGTGCACCTTCTCGATTAATGCGAGCCGATACAGGAGATTGGATCTCACGAGATTGTGCAGGTGTACCTAATGTTAAGTCCAACGACCATCCACTCATTTCAATATGGCAGTCTGTTAACTAGTGTAGAAATACCCAAAGGGGGAGATCAAGAGTGCACCCTACAGATGAAACATGACACAGCGGATGCACTTTTATAATACGTTATATACAAGGGCTTCTCCTCTAAAAAAGTACAAATATCAACGTACAGATGATAAGCATGGCACAAGCAAATTTTAAAATACTAATCAATAAATAGTCTCTGAAACAACAAAACAAAAGTAGACATTGAGTTGTTATGTTGTCGGCAATGCTCACAGTAGCACCGAGACATGGCCTTCAAATGGCAAGAGAAAGCAAAACAAAACAAGCATCAAGCATCCCCAGAGGAATCGCTATCACGGTATTTATTATCCGTCTCGATTCAGTGGGATACTCGAACTCCTCTGGGAAGTACAACTTGTGCTGAATTGCACTTAACAAGATCAATGATTCCTCGGGATTTGTATTGTTGCGTGTAACACGGTACAATGTGTTGACTGCTTTTAAGGTCGCTTGCTTACAGTTGCTCATCGGGTGTGCATTTTACATGGCTGGTTGGGTGTTACGTTGTTACTTGTGCGTGCGTTTGTGTGTGTGTGTGTATGTGTGTGTGTGTGTGTGTGTGTGTGTGTGATACAACACCTGGCTAAGGCACATAAATAGTGAGCCTGGCTATGTGGTTCAAACGGAAAGCACCGATCTTCTGTGCAGGTTCTGAGCTTAGTCAGTATACGATTGTCATTCCCCGTTATTATTCCAATTCCAGTTGTTAAGGTTGATGATAATAATTTGTTATGTGGTATTGCAATACAAAGCGTTGAGACAACCGATGGTGAGGGAGGCAGATCAGATGGCGACGTCATGAAAACGCGATGCTCCCGGTAGATTGAAAGAAATGTCGGCCTGCTGGTGTGGTCAAGGAAGAAATCAAAGGCGCTGTTGTAAAAGTCTTTGTAGAAATAGAAGTGGATCACACAAATTCTCAACTCAACTCAACTGTATTTATAGAGCACTTTCAAACAGCCATTGCTGCATACAAAGTGTGGCATCGAAAATCACTGATATCAATGATTGTTTTGAAAACAGTTTGAAAAGATATTGAGATTAAAAAAAAGAAAGAAAGAAAGAAAATAAAGTACCTGTGTGGTACCTGTTTGATATTTCAGTATCCTGTACTGTATTTCCTCAAATAGTGACCGGGGATATTTATACAACTGCAGAGGATACCAAGAATGGTGAAAATGTTTCCAACATACGCTCCACCAGGGGCGTCCAAACATTTTCATTTGAGGGCCGCCTACAGAAAAATGGAAGGATGAAAAGGCCTTTAAAATACTCCAACTTTTTGTAACGTGCTAAAGTCAATCAAGAAAGATGTCAAACAGTTGAGGATTTTTAGGGGTGGGCAACAGTCGTCTATCTCAAAGAGTAGATCCAGCTCTGCACCCAACAGCAGCTAAATCCCATCTCCACATTCAGAGCCCCCCCACCCTCGAAATAAAATAACAAACTGTAATAAAGTGACTACGCTGTATTTTTCCAAACAGTTTCTTCAAGATCATGAATGTGATGACTTCATAAATCAGCTATAGAGCACCAAGTGGAAGAAACTATTTTTGCCTCCAAAGTTGAATGATCTTTCTTCACTCCAGTGTTTTGAAGATAAATTGTGTTATTCTTTTTTATCATACATGGTTTATTTATATCTTCAAATATCGAAAAGAGTTCGACAGTACACAAACAAATTTATTACTAGTCATGGCACCTATTTTTCTGACACCGTCCCTTCTCACTCTGCCCACCTTTTTTAACTAACCTTGGACCCGTGTCAAAGTCATTTTTATTTTTGGGGTCATGTCACGGGCCGCTAAAAAGGGACGGCGGGCTGCAATTGACCCCCCGTGCCACAGTTTGGACACCCCTGCACGACGCTAATATTTAACAAGTATCATGTTGGGTTGGAATGAATGAATCCAAATTTACTGACAACACGGTTAATTTGGCCCCGACGTCAGTGGCGTGACATGTAGCCACCAATAAACTTGAGGCGCGGCGTTTATTTGAGGAAGTACGGTCAAGTCGTATTTTCCTGCTGCTGTTGCTCAGCCAAGTAAGCAAATAGTTCGAAATACCTCTCGGTGTAATGTAGTGTAATTCAAAGCCACTCGAAACCACAAGAACAACAACACACACTGTGTTTCTGACAGTGTCAGTCAAACCTCGGTCAAGGCAGAATGTTTGATTGCAGCTCTTGTACCGGATCCGGTTCGATTGTGCAAGTGTGCCTAATAAAGTGTCCGGTGAGCGTGTCATTCCATCACCTCCCGCCTGTGAATCCAGACGAGTACCTGACAATATGCTGCGTGGAGTAACAAGGATCACGGGAGGGTTCATAACGGAGAGGCTCCAGATCCATCTTTTGCGTGCGTTTCTTTCCTACGACGGAGGGAGGTGTAGTCTGATGATCTCTTTGGACTGTGGCGGGATCCTGTCGGGAAAACGCACCGAGAACTCCACGATGAGGTCACCGCATTGTGAAGGGTTCTTGGGGAAAGGCAGGCCTTCCCCTCGGAGTCGCTTCACCGTCCCGGGTTTGATGATGTCATGACAGGGCAGGGAGATGAGCCGCTTTTCCAGCGTGGGGATGCTCACGGTGCAGCCGCACAACGCCTGCGGGGCAAAGAATAGACGCCGATGAATACTCTTGGAAGGAATGAAATTCTAAAGCCACAAATGTATGGATGACTTCATGCTTCCAAGAACGGAAAAAAAAAAAAAAAAAACGATTTTCCGTCCGTGCCTGATGCTATATGATTAAGCACCAAGGTTAAATGCGTGAAAGAGGCCTCATATCTTTTTGGGAGAAACAATGTGGGTCTCTGTCCAGAGAGCAAGAAAAACACATGTCGTGGAAAACTTTTTGGGGGCTTGTGCAGTGTGCGTGTGTGTGTGTGTGTGTGTGTGTGTGTGTGGAGAAGATACACATTACACAAAGACTAATTTTAGCAACCTTCTCATGGCCAGCGCTAATGAAGAGAGGCAGGAGTCGGCTGAGTTCGTAAATAGTTGGAGGACTTGTCACACGGTATGGCAGCATGCGCACACACACGCGCGCGCACACACTCAAAGCTTCATCACCTTCTCACAATACCTGATAAATTCAAGCATATTCACACACTCACAAATAATTAGCAATTTAAAAGGCAGATATGTTAAAGCTCTAAGTAAAAAATGTCAAGCTTGCTAAAAGAAAAAAATGTTTGATATTAGTTCGAGTTTACATCTCATGGGCATTTCCATCCAAGGCAACCAGACATTGATGTAATGTTATGATGTAAGAGTGATTTGGGCTATTCTGACACTTGCTTAAGCTCCAAGTTAAACCAGTCGCTGTCATTACACTCACATAATGTGGTGCTACTTTAAGGGGATTTTAATGTCTGGTCTCGTGGGAATTTTAACCACCAGGGTCAGACTTGTGAACTTGCGCTGAGGTTCAGGTCAGCAAAGCAGCCGCTTGCCCACCAGAGTACCCGCTGATTTTTCCAAACATGACATCAGACACTTTTTTATCTGCGATGCTCCAGTACAGCAAGTCTGTGACTGTGATGGACAGTACTGGCTCATCCTCTTGCCATGTGCAGATTGGTTACTATGAAACATCAGTCGTCAAGTGTAAAAGCCGAGCTACTGAAAATAATATAGAGCAAAGTACTCGGACACACCTCTTAATCAATCGGTATTTGCCCTAATACGATAATATGATTTTCTCGACATCGAAACCCCTTCATCATTCATCAGTCTGCACTTGATCCACGACTGATTAAGTATTCTATTCTGAAGTGCATAAATCAGTACGTTTTAGCACTTTATTCTCAGTTGCCTCATTTTCCAAGCTGACAGGTTCGAAACACAGCAGTCACACTTGACCTGATTCGTACACGTCTGTCCGTCTCGATCCTATTCACGGATGTAAAAACTGTTGACAGAGGACAGAGCGTGCTAAAGTGAAATCAATGTGTTTCACTTCCTTATCTCTGAATGCCCGAGACTGCTGTCACACACTGAGCAGCACAAAATGACGATGGACGGGCCTTTAGGTACATCTGCGCCATCTAATAAGATCCACTGACAATGATATATTTCTACAGGTGTACCTATTGAAGTGTCTAGTAGTGACACACACACACACACACACACACAATGATGACTTTCATTGCTCTAAACTAGCAATTCTAAACTAGTAAAATGGTGGGCAATAATCCAATATTACTTAACCGGTCCGAAAATGATTTACGTCCTACAAATAATGTGACTTTATCTCACTTTGCCAGTGACGTACCATACAATGGGAGGCAGAATATTTCGATTCTCTATGACTCACTACATGGCACAAGGAACATAAAAACCTTTGCATCCAATTACTATGACAATTTTGTTTGGTAGTGTTGCAGGGAGATTTTTTCCCCACTGTAAAATATGCACCTTGGCTCCATAAAGGTTGGGAAATTTTAAGCAACCACCTTTCCTTACGGCATTCCCTTTGCACAGTATTTAGTCGTAGTAGTGTGTGAGTGTGTGTGTGTGCGCGTGTGTATGTGCATGTGTGCGTGTGTGTGTGCGCTTCTACTTCTGAATTTAATGATCTGTCAACTTTTCTCTCTTTTTTTGACATGCTTTGTAGTAGATTTAACACAGCAAACACTTTTATCAATCACAAGCTGCTTGCAATGTAGTTGACAACAACTGAGGTTTGACGGCACTCCTCGTTAGGATTGCCATTAATGGCAATTTCCATTAATGGTATTCCAAGATTTAATACGGAAACTGGTGCTTGTGTTGCACATGAGAGCATTGACCATCACTTCTTCAGGCAAGGATTAAGCACTTCTCTTTGCTTTGCATACTGAAGCATTCGACCCACTTCCCTACTCTTCCCCAGTTACAGCTGCCATCCTCCCATCCTCCCATCCCACATCCCCCAAATCGCTTCATGAGCTGCCTACTTTGGCTTTGGGATGTGTGCAGTCTAATCATCATCCGAACAGACTCTTTCTGCAAAAAAGGAAACTGTACAATGACATCTTGACTTGAGTCCAAATAACTCCTCCGACATATTTGAGAACATCTTCCACTTCGTCCCAGAAAATGGCAGGGCTATTTGAAAGACATTACAATTTGCGTAGCTCACGTACGAAGCAGTCAGAGTCATGCTGCACTCCTCGAACTCGTGGGCGCACTTAACTAAATGTGCTGCTCGTCACGGTAATATCAGACAAGTGCACACCGCAGTCTGTATTTGATTTCGAAATGTGTTTCCACACGCTTGAATGCATGTTTACATCGGGCATGCGCACCTTCCTATGGAGTTGACTGCTTCGAGTTACTCAGCCGACTGAGCAAGAGGAGCGAGGCGGCTCCGCGCCGGTCACACAAGGACATCACATTCACCACAATATTGTGGCAGAGGATCTCCTCAAGGCTGATTTAATACACACTCAAACAACACACACACACTCACACACAGACAGTCACTCACTCCTCAAAAACCGTTTTTGATGACTAACTACTCAGTCACACCAAAAGGGATCTAAAAATACACTCAGTGTCCACAACATTAGGTACATAGTCTAATAGGATGCCACACATCCATTCTACCTTTTACAGTGGTGATTGACAGTCTGTCATTCAACAATACAATGAACCCTCACTATTGGCGGGAGTTAAGGACCAAATCCTGACATGAAGAGCAAAAATGTGACAATAATGGGTGACTACTGCATATGTGAATAATTGCCCATATTATTAGCTTCAACCCTAAAGATACCCAAAACTATGATCGTAAAACACTTCAACATCACGTCAAACTCCTCTTACAACATGCAAATGAGATGAAACTGAGCGACTTACCTCTTTCAGGCTGATCTTGCAGTTAAAAATGATATTGGAACCGTCTCTCTTGAAGTGGGCGTGGCCCTTGTCTTTGAGAACAAAGACGATGTCAGCAGGAATATTCTCAGGGGTCTGGTCGCCTTCCTTGGGGAAGGTGATCTTGGTGCCCTCCTTCCAGCCTTTCTTGATCACAATGTTAAGAATCTTGTCCTCTGTCCTCAAGCTCCTCCCATCTGGGTTCAGCCTGCGGCGTGTAATCTTCATGCGCTTGGTGCAGCCGTGGAAGATTTCCTCCAGTGAGACCTTCAGCTCGTGGACCACCGGCGGGTCCTGTTGCTTTCGAGCTCCCCCCGGGCACTCTGAAAGCCCGCCCCTCCGTCTCCGGCCCTCTCCTGGGAAGCCGTTTTTCATCCCTCCGCCAAAGCCGAATTGCCTCCCGAAGTGAGCGGAGTGGTCATCTTCCTCCATGTCCACGTCCTGCTCGGCATCGTTGCCGTGGTCGTTGTGGAAGGAGAAACCGTTGGCGCGGCCGTGGCTGCGGTTCGCGCTGAAAAACATATCAAAGGGATTGGAGCCACCAAAGAAGGAAGCGAAGGTGGCGTGGGGGTCTCCATGGAAAGTGTAGTGGTGCGTTGAGGTACCGGGGGCACCGGACGAGCTGCTGCTTCCTGTCTTGAAACCTGGGAGGGTGTCATAGAAGATTTTGGTCAACTGCCCACGGGTAATTTTAATTATAAACTGCCAATGCAATAGTTTGCTACACAGTGTTATTGATATTTTACAACTTTGTATCAACTTGCAGAGCGGCATTTACTTTCTCCAAGTCCAACTATTGACTGGAGGTGTCACGTATCCATGCTGGTAGTGGACCCCCAAAAAAGCAGGGAGGCAGGAGAACCAGGAAGTACTGAACAAAATGTATGAACAAAAAACGCTTGCAGGGGTACACTGGAAAAAACTCAATCGAAAGCACTAAGAAAGTCTCGAAAAGATCAAAATTCAAAGTCACCACAAAACTTCAGGAACTAAAACATCACTACAAGAAACAAAACATGACTTCAACAGAAACAAAACAACACGACAGGAACACAACGACCTGACGAAGGCTGACACAACCCAGGAAACTAAATACAAGAAAACTGACAAGACAACAAGGAACACCTGGACAAGACACAAATCCCCACCACCAAAAAAGGTCTAGACAAGGTACATTGTCCAAAATAGATGAGCTTGTTTGTTAGCTTGTATGCAATATCTGTCAACTCCATCCCCAAAGACACAAGTTCGAAACCCACCCACATACACACGCTAGCCTGACACAAAACACCCACGAATGCAAACTCTATTCACGTCTCATCAATCTTAGCGCGTGATACCCTTAGAAGTCCAGCACTCACGTCGAAGATGCTAAGTTGGTTCAAGAGCTATTTCAATAACTACCCTCGCAGGTCACAATATTAGGTACAATGTAATGAGACCCCATACACATAGCGTATCAAACTGGATTTGACCTGACCCTGCAGAAACATTTTTATTTAACAATGTGTTTTATTATTGTGGTTGTAGTTTGCAGTGGTGTCAAACGACACTGCATCTTGTTTGTTGAATTACTTTTGTCAAGGCAACAATTTCGGAACAGCTGTTCTATTGGAACTCATTAGATTGTACACGTGTATCTCTACCTGATGTTGTGTTCAATCCATCATAAACTCTCTTTCACAAGGCTTTTAATTTAGGCACCCTGAAAGTCTTTTCCCCAAGCCATAAGGCCTCCGCTTACCTTCCTCCCCGAGCTGGTCATAGACAAGCCTCTTCTTGGGGTGGCTGAGCACCTCGTAGGCCTCAGCAATCTCTTTGAACTTTTCCTCGGCATTGGCCTCGGTGTTCTTGTCAGGGTGGAAGCGCAGGGCCATGCGTCGATAGGCCTTCTTGATGTCTTCCTCACTGGAGCCCTTGGGGATGCCCAGGATCTTGTAGTAGTCTTTCCCCATGGCTGCATGCACTTACAAGCCCTTCTCCACTCACACTGTGGAGGTGCAGACACATTTGTCAAGTTCTACTCTGCAGGGTCGCCTTTAAGATTTTAGAGAGGGGCTTGACCGATACATGGGGAGAATAGAAAATAATTTTTGAATGTCCATCAATTATCCGAACCGCTTTATCCTCACGAGGGTTGCGGACGTGCTGGAGCCTATCCCAATATATTGTAGAACATCAAATAAAATGCTGGAGGGGCTTAACTGGAGCCACACAAATTTCTCATGGGGCTATAGCCACACCCTAGCCCCGGTGTAGCAACATCCCTACTTATCTGTAACATTATAAAGGAATGAACCATATGTGGTAGCTAAGTTGGATAAGTGAATGTGGTAGATGAAGTAGATTGAATGTATAACAGGAAAAAAAAAATGTGTGGATTTTGATTTTTGATTTCTCGTGTCTCTAAGCATCCATTGTTTTTTTATAAGTATTTTCACTCTTTCACAAAAACACTGGATATGCACCATAGGTTGTTTTGTTTCAGAGATCCTCACGGTTCATACCTTCAAGGTCAAAGTTCGTGGCCAATGAACCAGAAGGGAAGTCAGGCGACTTGTGAATGATCAGTAAACATAAATCCTCCTCAAAAAAAAATAATTTGACATTGTTGTTTTTTTTCATAGTCTCCAAATTTGTTGGACATGTATGTATGAGTAATTTTGATAATTATTGATCTTGACCTTCACAAAGCATCAGCTAAGCCAAATAGAATTAGCAAGAAAGTGAAACATTAATTTGCAACACACAATGATGAAACCAACACTAAGAAATGTATTTTTTTCTAGGGAAACGGGGGATGTCTGTAAAGTGTCTGTGAATAACTACAAATGTTAACTTGGCTGCACTTTGAAACATTTGTCTTTTGACTTCGTAGTTTTCAGATTTTTTTTTTTTTTTGTAATTTTCTTGCCCCCCTTATATTTCATTGCAAGGTGAATGTGTGGAGCTACTCAGAAAATATTCAGTTGCAGGGAGTTCACTCAAGGACTCTCCAGTCCAAGTCAACACAGTGGACAAAGAGACGACCTTCGTAGTGTTGCCATGGTGATGCTGATTTATTGTTCCTGAAGTCAGGTATAACATACAGACGAGGAATTCCCATCACCTGCTATGTCAAAGGGCTTCTCCCAACCTGCTCAGCATCTACAGCACATGAATGATTGTTGTAAATCGTAGCAAATATACACAACGCGTGACTGAATGGCAGTTATCGCTTCCACTTTAAGTGTCCACGGCAGTGGGCACAAAGAGCACAAACGGTCTGATAAGTGCAATTCGGTAGATTCAATATTATAAAGATATGGTCGTTCAACATGAATTCTTCTTTTTTTGTTTCCCCGAGTGGGAAACCCCGTAATGCCGCACTCGTTATTGTAAACGAGCTAATTTTGTGGATGGAACGTTCAAATACACACAATAAGGCTATTAAATAAAAATAAATAAAAAGGAGGCTAGATGGAAATCGTACCGAAAAAAGACAAAGGTATGGATCTTCACATCACCCTGCTTCGGCTTCCCCGGCTCCTCCTTGCGCTCCAGTCCGGTTCCGTGTTGCTCTTTCCCGGTGTGTGCAGCGCCCGAACCGCCGGTTCCGTCTCCAGTGACGTCAGGAGAGAAAATAACGTGTGAGCCGAGCCGAGTGGAAGACCTCGACACACACGCTCACACACACCCACGACACCGGTGATTTATTTTAAAAACAACTCACTGGGTGATTAATCCGGAGTCAACCCCCACAGCTATCTAACTTCCCCTCCCTCAAATAAAACAGCCCCAAGTGTTAAAAATGCCGCTTAAATAAGATTTTGTACTATCAATTTCACCGAGTCATTTCCTTACCTTGTCTGTTGTCCAAAACCTGCTTCTGACTTAGTGTGATAATGTGCTGTCAATTATGTATGTGCAAGACCATCCCTCAGGTTCCACCCACATCGTGTCCGCGTGCTCGCATGTGTATAAAAGGACATAAGGAGCACAATTCAGGATTCTCTGTCACTCAGAAACACACACACACACACACACACACACACACACACACACACACACACACACACACACACACACACACACACACCCACACCCAACTGCAATCCTCTCACAGGCAGAACAGCTCTCACACAACAGAAGTGCCCCCCACCCCAAAAAAAAAGTTCAATTGAAATCAACGCAAGTGAATTGATGTGGCGACCCCTGATTGGACACCCCGAAACTCTCAACAACATCAGTAACTCATATTATTCTCTGAAATGTTCTCAAACATGATGCAAAAATGTTCTCATTTAATGTACCGGTAACTATAGAATATGAACATTTCAGTAGTCTGACAGCATTTTAGTGGAAGAAGGTTGCTACAGGGTGGAAATCACTCACATGTAACATTCAAGAACAGGAAAGCCAGATTAGACTGACAAAAAACTCTGTCTTCCGATTTCTAAAATCCAACTTTGGGCAGAAGAAACTAAGGTCAACTTGTATCTTGTGTTGAATGATTGGAAGGGAGTATGCTAGGAAAAAGGAACAGTGTGTCCAAAGCATACCACATCATGGTGGCGGCAGTGTTATGGTATGGGTATGTATGTATGACTGATCTAGTGGAACGTACTAACGGATATGTTATCATTTCTGCTTGTTTGTCCTTAACTGTCGGTAAGAAATAATATCGTGATAAACATATATACAGTACAGCATTGTATATTGTGATGCAGATCAACAAGCAGCCCACTATTTTCTAAAAATGAACTCAGAATGGAACACCGGTAGAGGTCTGAGTCATTACTGGTGACTTTTAAGTGTCAAGTGCACAAGAAGGCGCGCTCAGCAGGGCAAAGTGTCCTGATGGGTCACTTCGACGCAAGTGCAAGCTTGAGTCATCGGGCACCTTTCACCTATTGGTCTGTCTGACTCGCTCGCGCACACACACACACACACACACACACACACACACACACACACACACACACACACACACACACACACACACGCACACGCACACACACACACGTGCACATGCGCTCACACACCCACTGTATGCAAGACATTCGTAAGGGGCATTCTTTCAAACGTCTGGCAAATGACATATGTTGTGTAGTACAAAACCCCACATTGCGACAAAGTACAATTATTGTCACGTTGACCCCGTGACCATCGCATGAACCCTTGGTATCATGCAATAGTTAAACCACAAAAATAGACATCTTTGCTGAAGATTCCGGATTTACAAATGCCAATTTTGCCATGCGGTGAGATAATGTAACAAGGGGCTGAAGTTAAGAAAACAACTGCTGATATTTATGCAAAAAAAAAAGTATTCTAACCCATTCAAGAGAAAACCGCTCCAGCTGATTCAAGGTCAAAGAGTGACTGAATGTTTCGCTCCTCTCCGGCCTCCACAGATGTTCAATCGGGTTTAGGTCAGAATTGATTGTCCTCAACTAAGCAGCAAAAAAACATAGATATGAGTAATGGAAATGTCATTAAAAATGAACATACTATACATCATTATTATAAAAACAAAACAATGATTTCTTGAAGTCTTGTAGTGTAGTACAACTATGTAATGGCTCAACATTTTGAATTTGTAAGCATTCCAGTAAATGTCCTTTGAAGGGTTGAAAAATACACGTGTCAGATAGAGTTTAGGACGAAGGCTGGATAGTAGACAAATAAAAAGGGGCGTCTTTCTGAAAGTACACATTTGTGCGCCACAAGAGTCTAGGACCAACAATTCCTGACCTGATGCTGGGTTTCCATGGTGACAGGGATGTGCCAGACGGTGATGTGTCTACCAGGAGTGCTTGTCTTGTGTGTGGATGATAAGACGGTACGTGCTTCCCAGCATGGCCAAATTACATAATTTGGGCACGCTTCATCATATCATCTGCCACCTGAGCTGAAAGACAAGCGAACAGAAGGGCGATCAGAGCACCAGACAGCCGCTTTACACGAACGCACGTGTAGAAAGACGCTGAGAGGAGAGCACGTGCAGCCCCCCTTTGCCCCTTACTTCTGTCTTAGAGCAACCCATTCTCTCCACCTCCTCTCTCACTAACACAATTTGTGTAACCATAGCAACCAGCTGTAGCCTGAAGTTGTCAAGCGAGGACATTCAACGTATGCACACGTGAGCTTTACCTAACACACACACACACACACATCGACACTGAATCACCAGCTCTTAGACAGAGATGATTTATTTTGCAGTTCAGACACCTCCAGTGATGTTCCTGGAGAAAACAACGTGAGGCTTTGTTTGCGGGGAGTCTCGGACGCATTGGGGCTCCACTTTTCCTCTTGCAAAGATTGTCCGTGCGTTCTCTTACCCAATGCTGGAACAAACAGCAGGTGTCAGACGATCGGTCCTCTCCAGACTCGTTTCAGAGCACTGACTCATAGAAAGAAATGCTTTAACATTAACAGTCACCGCACGATACACACTGTGAAAATGTGGGGGGGGGGAAAGGCGAATCTTAACATAAGACCATTACATAACACCAATTGTGCGCGCGTGTATAGTTTTTCGGGGGAAGTGGTACTTCATGTATCATACAAGTGCCACAATGTCGGTTTTTGTACCAGACGACACAATTTGGATAATCATGCAAAAAAAGGGAGGGAGAAAAAATGTCTTTGGCAAAAAAAAAAAAAAAAGGAATGTTACAGCCACACTGAATAGAAAAACAAAAGAAAATGCCTAGTTCATTCTCAGGTGCAAATATTTTGTTTCCACAATGCCAATAAAATGTCGTCTTAATGGTGCTGATTGTGCTTTCTTATTTGAGAACGAGTAATTGAAGTGTAATATCCTCACCAGTCCTGATCTCAATTACCGGTAGTTCTAAGTTTATTACTCCACGTGTATTGATGGAGACATATTACTTTACTTTTGGAATACAATGCTATTTTTGTTTTTTTTAGTGTGGCCCGTAATATTCCTTCTTAGAAAGCACTTTTGGTTCGACATGAATGTAAGAAATACTGGTTCCTAGTTAATTCGGAACGGCAGCAGTCTTGCTGTGAAAAGTACAAAGGCTCTACTTTGTGGGTGTTCTCCACACTGTTCTTAAAAGCTTTTTGTTCCATATGTCCTTCAACGCCTTCTCCTTGTCTTTTCTTGTTAGATTTTCTTTTAGAACGGTCTGTACCACAGTCTTGAGTTGAGATACTGATTCAATTAATACTCCGGGACGATCAATCGATGAGTCATTTCCAAATGGAAAAGGTCTTGATGATAAGAGGAGGAACAAAGTGCAACAAAGGGACGCAAATAAACGAGGAGAGCTTCTTCCATCAACAGGCAGAGGTTCCTTTTGAGATGTTTCTTGATAAAGGCCACTTCACAGTAGTCCCAAATTTCCAGATCATTGTGATGGGGGCAGCATTTGGGTCAAGGTCAATATCAATGCATAATGTGCAAGTATCTGAGGTCAGGGTAGAGCAGGTTTGTTAGCAGGGCCAAGAGTCGAGGTCCATCTTTAAGACAGTGACCTGGGTAGCGGATGAACTGGAGGGCTTTTTTCAACGAGTCTTCCACTTCGGCGTACTGCTTATTGCTGGTCATGGCTTCAAGCATCCCCAGCGTCTGTGCAAAAAAACAAAATAGAACTGATATAATAAGGCGATGATTAAAGAATCTGGAAGGGTAAGTGACCACCCGAGCTGCCTACTTGCTGTGCTTTTGCGGAGGGCTGCAAGTCGGCGGTGGGCTGCAGGCGGAGTTCGCTTTCTGTTGCTACCTGCATGGCGAGGAATGCCGCCAGGCTGCGAACGACCACCCTGAATCTAGATGCAGAGTACGGAATCCCTTAAGAGCTGCGTTATCATAGCCTCCGCAAATTTGATGATCATAACAATGGGGGAGCTTACTTGTTGGAAACGGGGGACTTCTTCCCGAGACCGATGGCCCCAAGTAGTCCAGAGTTGAGTCTTTCTTCTCCCAGCTGAAGCAGCCTGCTTTGGAATCTCAACAGACCTGCGACCACCCCTGATAATTCACCGAGGCCCGCTTGAGGCTGCAGCTGCTCCAGTGACAGATTCAAAGCTTTGTGCCACCACAGAAACAGCTTAGCTTCATTACCTGGTCCGCTGGAGACATATAACAGACAGGTTCACGTTTACTCGTGGATATGGCTTGATTTGGAAATCCGGATTGATTTTGAATCAAAATGCGAAGAAAAAAAAAAGTCTGATTTAAAATAGCGGTACAATGGTGGCAGCACATGAGTTCATGACGGAGGAAGTATACATAGATAAATACATTTGTGCGATGGTTTTTCACGTACATGTTTTCTTGCATCTCTATGCAAACATTTTGTCTGACCACTACACATCGTTCTAAAGAGGTTTGGCAAGGAAACTCGCAAACCTGGGGAAAACCTGATTGGTCCAGGTGTTGATGAGAGCCAGAGTCCTCCTCTCATTGGCTGCCGTGTGTTCAGAGTTAAGGCGCTGCAGGATGAAGGCGTAGAGTGTGAGGAAGCTGCCTCCTGATTGGCTCTCAGACAGAAAGTCTTCCACTGTGAGCTCGGGCACTTGCAGCGATGCCAACACGGGACCCCAGCCAACACATTCGTCCTCAGCTGAGCAACGAAACGTGACGTTACGTGAGGTCTACAATCAAAGCGAACGGGTGTTAAGTGCAAGGTGACTGACTTACCGTGGTTAAAGTGGGCTGTGATGCAGGCCTCCATGATACGCGTCATGTGGCTCACTGAGGCCAGACAGCGGGAGCAAGCAGTGAGCAGCGGGAGGATTGGAAAGCCCCTCCCCTTCTTGTCCAGCCAGGTGATGACACGAACTGCGAGGGCCTCGCCCGTAGACACGCCGACTCCGTTGAGCACAGCCAGTGCGCCGCTGAAAAGGCTGCAGAACGCCATGTGCCTCTGCTCCAAACCCGTTTCTGTGGAGAAGACGAGGACCAGCCAGATGGTATCTTGACTAATAATGTGCGATCAAGACGTTTGTGGAAGAAGATGAGCTCACCTGGTGGGCTGAATGTGACAATGCTTTCCAACAGCGACTCCAGCTGTGTCTCCAGGATGCTCACACTAATGCTGCCTGCTTGCTCCAAAGCCACTAAACAGCGCACAGACCAGCACACGTACGCGTCCGCCTTCAGTGTCTCCTCCTGGCACAAACGACATCACACTTTGTGGTGAGTGATTTACACACCTTGCTACAGAAGAGGCTTATGAAAAAAAACAAAAAAACAAAAGCAACACAATGGGTCAGTTGTCTTAGTTTTGAGCAAAGTGCAGAGCTGCGTATGACGAAAAGAAAAGAGGATTCTTAAAAAACATTTGATTTTGGACACCGTACGGCATTACAGAGCGTGCTTCCCTCTTATTAATTTCCACTGTGACGTCAGAAGACGCATCCATTTGGAGAGGGGCTGGAGGAGTACTTCCAGAGTGCGAATAGCAATACAGTGGCCCCCTGCATACTTGTGATTCAGCACCCAGGGATTCGCAGGGGTTTTAAAAATAGATTTTTCTGTGCTTTGGGGTGCTTTCCCCTCTTCGTTACCAACATTTTCTGTGAATTAGGGTTGCATGATATTGGAAAAACATGCAATTCATGATATGGGTGTTGAAGATGGAAAAAAAAAAAGAAAACACCAGTGCAGAGTACAAAAGTTCACACATTTGTTATCATCAAAAATAGTGGCATTGCCCGTATTCAAATACTAAATAGAGCTTGTAACATCCAGAAATAAATTGCCCACTAAGGTATACACTGTATATAAACATACACTGTATATTTAATGTAACACTCTAGCATTGAAGAAAAAGGTGTACAGTACATACTGAAACGGACTTACAATGTGAGCAGCTTCATAAGGGCGGGGGTGAAGTCCAGCAGCGCTACGCAGTGACTTAAGCAACAACTGAGATGCCGAATCGTTGCTAAGCAGAAGGGAGGGCGTGTAGTGAGTGTTGACATATCCCAAAACCCCTTGGTAGGACGACAGATCCAGCTGGTGCCAAGGCAGAGATGTGCATTGGATCAACAGATTGAGAAGTGGGGAGTCCTGGATAAAGAGGGACAAAATATAAAGTTACTGTTGTACCTTGGAGAGTGGAGTTTTTCAACATTATTTGAGGCTTTGGACCACCTTTTGGCTGAGGAGCTGCTCCTCTTTTGCCAGAAAAACCAGCAAGTACAACAGATACACCAGCATGGTGTGCGATTCCTTCTTTTGAAGGTCAACATTGGACTGAAGTGGGCCTGTTAGGGTTTCTGGAGGTGGCTGTAAGTGGTTGCTTAGGACGCTGATCCAGTTGACTTCACATAAAATCTCCCCCATAAACAGGAAGCAGCTCTTGGGACTTCCTCTCTCCACCTGGATGCACATCGACGAATGAGAACATAGAAATTTGACTAGGAAAAACAAACAAGACTTTTCACCCAAGATGACTTACATAAAACATTTAATCTCGGGAATGTGCTATTACCGCGCAAGCATATCAAATACCCCAAATAACTCACGATGAGTTTTCTTGAAAGCTCAAGAAAATGTGCTAAGTCTCTAATGTAGAAGTGAGAAACGAGAAAGATCATCAGGAAATGAGTTTGGAGATGATCAGCACAGGCTTGTAATAACAGCGCGGTTGCTGAAAGTCACTATGCAACGCAGTAGGAGGGTCTCACGTTGAAGAGCTGCTCCATAAGCAGTGTGTCAGGTTGCAAATATCTCCATGGCAAGTTGCGCAGGTGAGAGTGGTGCAGGTACAACAAGTACTCTGGTGTCCGTGGAGAGGTGCAGCTTTCACAGTACTGCATCACACAAAGCCACAGGGCACCTCTCTGGCCGGGGAGTAGGCGGTCTGCAATGTATGTGCATGCACAGTGCTGTTGGATATCCCGCACAACAGATCCAAACGGAAGAACGGAAGGCACACAAAGGCTACCTTTGAATCTCTGATGCAGTTGGGCACACAAAGGCTACCTTTGAATCTCTGATGCAGTCTGTCGGTAAGTTGAGCATAGAGGCCGACCAGACACCCTGCCTCACTCGCATCCGTCTCCAGCCACGGGTAGCACTTGAGATTGCTAAAACCAAAAAAAAAAAAAAAATGCAATGGTTCATAAAAGGTAAACGGACTATATCCATGACAACAACCCCTCCACCCCCTTCAAATAACTACGAAAAACTAATCATGAATAGACGCAAGAGTATGAATGATACAGCGATCCAATTCCACCTACACACTCCCATCAGATCAAGGTTTTACCATTCCTCATACTGCAGTTAGTTGAAATGAAGTACCATGTGGTGAAAATGTGCCTCTCAAAGGTCGACATACCTTCCGTCTTCAATGTTCAGGGGAAAGATCCAAGGCTTAAATAACTTCACAATCTTACTGTGCAGGTCATGAAGAGCTGCGAGAGTGCCACACTTGAGTTAGGATGACATCATGCGCATGAGCACAAAGCATGAAGTTGAACAAAGTGTGATTGTAATTCACCTTTCATTATTCTATTGCTGCCCACAGAGTCTCTGGCACAGCTGCTAAGCGACACAGTACTTAGACAGCTGACCAAATAGTCCCAGAAAGAAACCACTTCACTGATGTAAGGAGACCAGGCAGAGTAAAGGCCAAAACTACGAAGATCAGCTTTGCTGAGACGACTGCGTAGGAAGTAATCGCTCAGCCAATCTATTGTCTCATCCACCTGTTAGAAACAATGGCAGGCTTTAAAATCACATTTTGTACAAGCTAGTGCACAATCCTCTGTCTTGCCATGTCAATCAAATCAAGGAAAGAGTCAGAATTTAGCTTCTATTTGAGTTTCTACAGATGAGATTTGATTCATTGATGAAAATAACAATTTCGGTGGTCACCTGCTGAGGAGAAAGGGTGATTGATGACCTGTGGGGAGACCCCTGGGATGCAGATGCGCGTGCGGAGATCTCAGTCGTAAAACCTTGTTCGCATTTGTTCTTGCTGCTGCGGGATGGAGGTGAGCAACCGAGCACTCGCATAGTCACCTTCCAGCAATCCGGACTCAGTAACTGGTTTGAGGAACCTATTAAGAAAAAACATTTTTAGAGCAATGACTAAATGTTTGGAATCAAATCAGCCTTGGACTCGTGGATAATGGATTCTCTGACGACTTCTTTCAAGGTTATCGTCAATGTGAGGAAAAAGAAAAGCAAAGATTCTGCTATGATGTCGTACCACTGCTGCAAGATTGGAGCGCTTAAGCGAAATCAGACTGTTGACGTGTGCATTTGCTCGGTGCCTGGGGGTTGCTATTACAATCTATGACATGAGCGTTCTTTGTTGAATGTGATGGGTTTGAAAGAGGAGGAAAGTCATCACTACTGTACGACATATGAAAGCCTGAGCTCGTCAGCGGTCAGTCGCAGAGTGCATTTAGAGAAAGACATCCCTTCACACCGCCGCAGCAGTATTCCACGCATTTCATGATTTTGCAAGAGTGAGTTATGAGTGGATGGCAGCCGTTCAAATGGGTGATGTGTGCTTTGTCTAAGTGCCTACTCCAAAGAACATTTCCATGCAAATAAGAGAAAAAAGGAAAAACAAGCAATTTTCTATTATGAATCACTGGCGGTAATAAAAATCTTTTTTACCGATTGTTTTCTGGGCTCTTGTTGCAACCAATTCAATTCAAAATAATAGCTGACAAATATAAATATTTTTATCCGGTCTGAGTAGACTACCTGACCTTGACTCGCTGCTGCGTTTTGTAACGCTACAAAAGAGACACACTTACTGGTCATGAGCAGACGCAGACAGTCACTGTAGTGGTCAGGGAAGTGGTGGCATAAAAGTGAGGTCCAGTGTTTGGTGAAAAGGTGAAAAGGGGTGAGTAGTTCTGGGTCAGGATCCCGGCCACAGACACAAAGACCTCCATGGACTAATTCCAGTAAACGCGTCCTCTCCGAAAACACGGGATGCGCTTCATTCAGCCAGGTGGACAAATCAAACTGAAAAAAAGGACGGAAAAGGAAACTGAAATAGAATGGATGTGGCGGTAATGGAGATTTATCCACAAATTGGGACCAACCTTGGTGAGCAGCATGAAAATGACATCTGCACTATCAAAGTGGAGTGATGTCACCACATCTTGGTAGAGGAAGACCAGCTTGGCAGGCGCTGCATTAGGCGTGAAAAAAGGAGAAATGAGAGGGCAAAGACGTCTCTGCTCCAAGATGGTCTTCAGGACACGGCTACACTCTTCAGCGTTCCCCTGGATAAACACCTTGATATAAAAGAAGACAAAATGCGTTCACTGGAACTATTTTCACTTTTTATCACCTCGACCACGGATGTTGTGTTTGGATCTTTTTTCAGAAGTGACTGGGTTAGGTATGGACAAAGAATAACTCATGGGGTTTTGTTTTCACTTTTGTTTTCATCACTTTTAATTCATCCGTGACAAAAGCATGAATCTTAAATTCTTCCGGCATATGCATGACGTGGGTTGTGTTACAATCGTTGGCAGAGGTTTGCATTCTATTGAATGCTATTTTTCACTAGTTCAGCATTACTGTAAACGTGCGGCTTCAACAATCTGTGTGTGTGTGTGTGTGTATACCTGTCCCAGTATCTCCACACACGAGGAGAGATACTGGCGTGTTGGCGGATGACGGAGTGTGTCTTCACACACATAGGAGACCACCTGGTAGAAGGCTGACACGCCAACTTGCAGCACTGATGGGGATTTTTGCGATTTGTACATATTCACCAGAGCTCTGCACACATAACAGACACAATTAAAAAAACAACAAAAAAAAATCTTTCTACAATTTTGTTTCAACTTCGTTGTTTCAGAATACAGAGCCGATATTTGTTTCTATTTACGTGATAAAGTTCTCTGTGTGGACAGCAGCATCTGCCAGGCTTTGAGGAGGCGGAGCCATGGCATCAGTTTGAAGGTTCTTGATGTCCCTTCGCAGGGACGTTATCTGAGTCTGCGTTGCTTCCTGTCGCTGGACGCACTCACACTGCACAATTAAAAACACACAGACTCATACAGGTGAAGTATTCAAAGCAAGGCCAAGACATCTCAGAAAGCTTCTGCACAGTGTTGGGCACATTACTTTTAAAACGTAATTAGTTATAGTTACAATTTACTTCTTCCAAAAAAGTAATTTGGTTACTAACTCAGTTACTGCCTTGTAGAAGTAATTAGTTACTCAGCAAAGTAATTGATTTTTTTTTCATATTAGGTTCTATCTAGCGTGTAGAATATGTTTGTAATAGCTGAGTGAATCATGAAAACAATATACATAAGAACATTTGGCATTTATTTGAACTCGACAGATTGCAACTTGTCACATGCATAGTAATTCCCAACACTGCTTTTGCAGTGCGATAAGAGTAGTCAAACCGTGACGGTGATATTAGCTGGACCCTGGCACGGCTGCCCTCCTCTCCCTTTACATTCCAGGGTCATGGTCACTTGCTCTGGTCGGTTCTTGTAAAGCAGAGGGAGAGACTCGAGAAGCTCCTGTTCCATCGCCACCTGCTGGGCTTCTCGTGATACTGCAATCCTGACACCATAAGAAGACCTTTGATTGACCATTCCCATTCAGCGATGTTTTACGGTTTCAAGATACCTGGCTTGGTCCTGCAGTATACTAAGATCGCGTTGCAGTAGTTCAGCAGCGGCTTTGGAGTCAGAGAGACATGCGCTGGGAATTTCTGCCACTGGAGTCTTTAAGTGGTGTTGTTCAGGAGGTGGATGTGGAACTGGATGCTTCTGCAAGTTGGACTGGATACGCTCCTTTGCTGCAGAACAAGAGAGACACCCCTCTCGTACTTTAATTGCCAATATTACAAAAATGACGTCATTCAAAAATGCATGGGTAAATTCGCTTGTGTGGCCATCTTTTGTACAATCCAGATATCAACTTTGATTTGTTATGATGGAATGGCATGCCACAAATACATATTTAAAATACTTCAAGGAGAATTCATGCATTGAGATCGTCATTTAAAAAAAAAAAAAGCTTAGTGTAAACAAAAAAGCTGAACTGAGTTTGAAGTTTTGTTTTAGTATTATTTAGTTGCTGTTGATGTCACAATACAAACATTTTCATTTCAAGGTGAGGGAAATCATTCTAGCATTCCACTTTCAAGAATCAAGTTGGTGAACAGCACAGATTAAACTGGACACTTCTGGGAAACAATTTTCAGCACTCACAACGGAGAGTCTACTTCAGTGAACTGATTTGTACTGTTCTTTTGTACCATTGCTGAGGCTTGTATAGTCCGTGAAGCTGCAGTTTTGGGTTTGAAGGAAAGATGGCTCACTCTGCACCTTCTCCCACAGAGACAGTACCTCCTTCTTGTCACACTGCAGACGCTCTTGGTCCACATACTCCAGCCATAGTTCCTAAACAGAAATGTATTTGATTTTTAAATGCATAGTGTTTAATAGTGTGACTAATAATATTGAAATATTTGACTCCTTCTTCAAGAAGTATGAGACAGACCTGTTGCTGCTGCATAACCTGCGCAAGTCTGTGTGGCTCATATTCGGGAGGAAGAGAGGGAAGGTAAACTTCTTGCTTTTGCAGAGATTCATCATCCAACCACACGGCAAAAACGCTAAACAACCTGCAAGACAAGAAATGATCTTGGTCTTCAGCTGAATATCACAGTGAAAACTGAGAATGCACAACCTGCTCGCAGTAAAGCAGGTGACCTACCTGACTAACTCCGTGTGTAGCTGAGGTGAGGTGAAGTAGGAGCGACGTTGGTGGCCCTGGTGGTCTCCTGAGGCGATGAGTGCTGGGGGCACCTTCAGAGCCTGGCTAGCAGCGTGGTGGAAGTCAGATACGGTTTGTATTCTCTGCCTCAAGTCTCGCAGCAAAGTGGCTTGAGTGGAAGCCTGGAAGAATCGTCGCCCAATGCATCCACCTGCAGCCAGTCTGGAGGACACATTTCCATGAGGGCCATCAAGGGCCACGCCATCATGTTAAGCTTAATTTTGTTCAACATGTGTAACCACATGGGTAGACACTTTGGAAACAAAAGTACTGCACTTATTTTATTTCGACTTCATCATGTTCTCACGCGGGCCAGTGAGAGACTGCAGAGGCCAGCGGGTCGTAGAATGCGATGTTTTGCATAGATTGCTGAAAATATTTCTGAATAAAATATGTGAGTATCATACCCATAATCGGGACCGGGTTGTCTGAGGTAGAGCTGGAGGAACTTCTGCCAAACCAGAGGTACAAGGGGATGGTCAGGGGGCGTGGCTAATGCCTGCCAGGCCCAACGGTAAATTTGGAGCCGCTGCAAAGATGGCGTGACTGGCAACTTCAACCTCTGCTGGGCCCTCTGGCTCAAGCACAACATTGACAGCACATTAGGTAAAGGTCATATACTGTACCTCTTCAGATAAAGTAATTCGCTTTTGTACCTTCAAAGCTTGCTCCGGAGAAACATTAGGCTCTAAGAGGAGCTCATTTTCAACACATCGTCTGAGCTGAGAGTCTTCCTCAAATGTGCCCTCCATGTTAAGCACCAGCCAGGCAAACCAAACCTTATCAACAACACTAATCCTGTCAACAAGTGAGATCAACAAATTTTGTTTCAAACTGTTTGGGCTTAGAGACCCTTACCTCCGCACTCAGTGATTGGCCCTCTATGAAAGAAGGTGTGGCATTTCCAGCAATCCAGCCTACCAGGGAGGAGAGCAGACCTCGATCTCCATGGTAACCCAAAGCATTCTACATGAGGCATTCAAACCACGGCATTACTACATTCGATCAGACACTGAATTCAAACAGTCGCTGATGGCTGATGCCTATACCTTATGTTGTTGGTGCAGAAGCTTCAGCAGACATTCCTCCTGCTGATGTATGAATGCAGCACAGCAGAGCTGATCCATGAGGAACAACACTGTTTTGTCCCGGTACCATAAATTCTGCTGAGTCAAAATCCCCACCCAAAACTCCAGCACGGCTGCAGCACCAACATGACTGGGCTGTGAACTCTCAACCACATGGCTCTGATGAACAAATATACATGCGTTTTCATGAATCATGGGTGGTGAAACGTCATGTGGGGGCAGTGACTGTATTATGTAAATTAGCACCACTCTTGCAAAACAGTAGGGCCCAAATTCAGAACAGCTGGCTCACGGGCACATTTTCCAAAAATATTTACTAATATTTAGGCCCTCAAATTGTTTGTATTCGAGGAATTGAAAAGTCAATTGTAAATATGTCCTCTTTAAAAAAATATTGTAAATAATTTACCTGAATAACACTGTTCAGCAGTCGGACATTGTCTCCATAGGTTGTTCGGGTGAGGAGCGGTGCTACCCGGTGCGTCACTTGCTGCGTCACACCCTGAGGACATACGCTGTCGTACTGCAAGAACAACTGAATGCAACTTACAAACCTGGCATGGCATGGACAGACAGACATATATTAAGTGTTAGCGATGCAGCTAATGAATAAAGAATGCATCAATGTTGGTCCAAAAGGTGCATTTGGTTTACTGAGAGTTGTTGAGAAGGTAGAAACTCAGCGGGTAGATTTGAGGAAGGATGGCGTCTAGAAGATGCACAGCAGCTCGCAGGTGGTGAGACTGAATCAGACTCTTTAACAGGCTGACTCCATCAGTACAAAAGTGCTCCAGGCTGATGAAGAAAATCAAGCTCATCAATGTATCTCATTCACACTCGTAAAAATGATGATGAAATGCATGACTCCATACCTATGTCCCACTGTTGTCATGGCAATCGACAGGTATGCTCCTATAGGGATGCCTGCTTTTACAGCCCGGAGAACAGAGTGCATGCTGGGAGAATGTGTAAGTTCTGCAGGTGGAACGGACACTAAAGCAGGCACTGACCAGGCCCCTTTTGGGTTCTGTACATTGGCATGAAGCTTTAGCCTTAGTAAGAGCTGCCACGCCCATTGACTGAAAGACGCTTCAGGGGACACGCCTAAGCGAAGGACACTTGCAAGATAAGACACCTAAAGGAAAAAAAAAAGAAAACGAGAACCTCTCAGTGTAAGTCTGTGCAAAATCAAGTAGAACGAATGTCTGCCAGTGTTTTGTTTGCCTGTTTAATGCCTTCTGATATGAGGCCACTGTAAGGTTTGTCAGTCAGGTACTTTTGATAGGCCTCGGCCACCAGCAGAGCCACTTTACTGTGGAGTGATGACGACAAGGCCAAGGATCCATCCTGAAAAACCAAACTGGCCTCGTCATTTTAGAGCCGAAGTCTATATGAGACAACGTGGGAAATCTTTGAAACCACCTGTGAGTATCCCCAGTTCAGACCCTCCAGTATAACACAGGCCAGTCGATTCTCCACAGCCGATAGAGGATGCTGGAGCAACCACGCTCCGATCACACATACCTCCTCTGGTTGTGGATGCCACAGGCTCAGAGGAAGCTCTTTACACAAGTACAGTGCCACCTAACAAAAAAAAAGGGGGTGGAGGGTGGGGTTGGGTTTGAGACCTAAACTTTACATATTGTCCTTTGGTGAAACTTCAGGACCCAATAGAACCAACCATGCCAACAGCTTGGATGGTTTCTCTCAGCCTCTCCAGAAGCACGGAGATAATGTAGGGATGGGCTGATGCTATCGTAGCCAACAACTCTCTTCCAACCTTTGAGTAAATTTCTCTGGTGGACATGCTTACATAAGACACCTGTAAACAAACACACGACACAATTTGACAACTTTAGGTACACTTAACAGTCTAAAAATGTATTATTATTATTATTATTATTATAATGAGATCCAGTACAAGAGCTGTAGCAAAATTATGCCATCACAAAGATTCTCAGGTTTTAATAGACGTCACCAGGGAGTTTATTGAACAATATGGTAAGATAATGCAGGCACAGTTTGGGTGGAAGTGGAACGTGTTAAACTGAAATGTACTTCTAATATATACACTGTACATATTAACAAAATAAGGTCACCAAGATATTATAAATACTCCACAGTATGAGGCAATCTAGTTCTATACCATTGGATCCCAAACAACAATAACCATACTTTTTCATCTTCAATACAAATAAAAAGCTTTTTGACAAAGGTCCCAAACTGGCACTATAATCCTTGCAAAATCAGAATTATAACTGCGGCTCTTGTGTGGCGTCTCACTGGATTGTGCCGGTGTGCCTCGTGTTATTCTAGATGAACAGAAATCTCATCCTTCCTTAGCATATTCTTGTCATACCTGGTAAATCAGCAGACCGATGGTGGTGACAAAGGCAGGATCAGAGTACTGAGACGAAGTGGCCATGTGGGCGAGCGCAGTGAGGAGGGAGATACCGTCAGAGCTGTTCACCTCACACAACCACAGCTCAAATCTGTCTTGGTGTTCTGGTTCTGAGACAAAGATGTCCATGAGCAGCTGTGGATCTCATTAAAGGATCTCCCATACATATTGATAGATTTTTTACAAACGTCAACATGTGTTGTGTTTTCTATACATATATATTGAAACCAAGTAGAATTAAGTGATTGAGACCAATTTTGTTTTGCTTGATTACCTCTTAGAGCCTGAATGCAGGAAAGTGTGTCACTCGAATTACTAAAAGTTTCCGGTCCTGCGGTTTCGGCACACTGCATCGCATAAAGGATCCTCCAAAGCATGGGGCTGGACAGAGTCCCGTATGGCATCTCAGACATGAACAACCAAATTCCCAACCTTTAAAAGAAATGGCAGAGGAATAAGAAGACTTGTTTTTTTTTTTTTTTCTCTTCAGAGAAAATCTTGAGAATATTACCACACCTCTTGTTTCTGAGAACATGTAGTACAGCCCTGAGAAAAAGATGATCATATTCCACCTGCAGCTTTTCCAGAGGCAGAGAGTGGACATGAGAGCTGGATCCACTGATACCGGTCACACTGACATATTGTGCCCAGTGATCACTGACATAACACAGTGTCATCCTGCGAGAGAGAAAAAGACAATGACGCAATCACATTTTCTGCCGATAATTGCGTGCTATGTGGCAAAACGAGTGTGGTTCGTATCAACCGCATGATCCACTTGGTGTACTGACCGTATGATGTGTCCTATTCGTTTCACGAGCTGTCTGTATCGGGCCCTGTTATAGGTTTGTAAGCCGAGGGCGAGAATCTCAATCAGAGAGGAAGCAAAAGCAAACACGCGCATCATCTTCTGACTGGAGTACCCTTGAGGTTCATAGGTACCTACAAACAAATTGGTGAGAGTACATTTACTCATTGTTTTAGAGGTTGCAGCGCCTTACTAAAGGGCACCACGGTGACAGGCGCTTTTCATAACCACTAGGTTACGATTGCTCTTTTGATCGGCGCTTTAGAAGACAAAAGGAAAGTCACAAACATTTACCGTCCTTGCTGATCCCCAGCATGTGTGAAAAGAGCTGCTGGAACGGAAACTGGGACATTAAGGAGACAAGGTCGTCTTCACACAGCAGGAACCAATTGCTCTCTGGATCCTCATCCTAAGAATGAAGCCAAAGCATTTCACATTCAGTTTAATGAAAATACAGCAGCAGATGGGGTGGTAAGTGAACAGACTGACATTTACGGTCAACGAGCATTTATTTAGTACTTTTTGATTAGCTTTGAGTGTGATTCAGCCGACATGAACACAGACTAGAACATAATTTAACATATTTGTATCTAATTGTCTGTGCGCAGGAGGCATACAGTCATGATAATATTCCACCATTCTGAGTTGTTTAAGAGGAACTGTTGGATCTGCTGATAGGGCTTTGGGGCAGCAATGTAGGAGAAATCGTGTGTGAAAGATGTAGCTGGCTAGCTACAAGTACCTCTTCTCCTCCTTCATCAACCAGAGTCCAGTTGCCTGACTCAGGTCCGGATGAAGCCGAATTAAGACTCTCACATGGTTTCATATGACCCAAAAATTCTGCACGGTGTCTAGAACACAAACGTAATTAGGTAAGTGAAATGCGTTGCTTTTAATTTGATGGCACAATTAAGCAATTCAATACATTGACAAAAACATTAGGTACACCTGTATCAGTCCAACACAAGAACTGTATCATAGCAGATGTGGTCTGCTCACCCCACAAAAATAAATTACCTAATCTCGCACAATTACGTAGTCTCCATATCTTGAAGGGAAAGACTACTTCAAACCATGTTTTCATGCTCAGGTGTACCGAATGTCATGGGCACAGGGTATCTTTCTTTACTTACCGAGCAGGCGACATTAGAATTGCCAAAGCTTGCATGAAGTCCTGCACTCCACAGGTGTTCCCTAATACTTCAATCTGAGGAGATAAAAATGTAGTTTCAAGAGTATGTAGGTGTGACCACTGAGAGAAAGAATTTTTTCTTAAGCCAACCTGAAGAAAAGGGGCAGCCCACTTGCCCACCCCAGCAGGACAGCACAGCAGGTGACACAGCACGAACAGGTGCTCTCCTGATCCTCCGACATGCAGCAGCACTGCCACCTGAAGAGTCACGTGTCAACTGAGCAGTGAAGATGGAATGCACACAAAATGGTGTGCGAGTGTGTGTGTGTGCGCGTGCTGTAAACTATTACCAGTGTTTCCAACCAGTGATGGATATCTGCCTGGAACTGCGTGTCATCGAGGACTCTTCTTGTGAAACTAAAGAGGACACTGATGGCGTCTTTCAATGGCTGAATGGAACAAGGCTTTCTTTGGCCTGCTGAGTAATCTGATGAGAAAAAAACACACACACGTATGAGAAAGAATAACAAACTCAGGGGCACAGTCACTGTTTGCACACCCCATCACTGACAACTACTGTTGCTCGCCTGCGTGTCTGCTTCAATGTGCAGTGTATGACAAAATCATCATATTCAGTTTCATGAATATATAATACAATACACAACGTGCTATGTACTATGCTTTGGTTCACAGTGCAAGCGTATATCACCTTTTAAGAGACGGTACAAGTATGATTCCACCTGGAGACGCGACAGAGAAGCAGTATATGCATGCAAGGCCACCTTCTGATGGAGCAGTTCACTGCGAATTTCGAAAAGTTTGCTCAGCTCAGCCAGCACACTCTGACTGAACTCTGCCTGCTGGAAGCGATGGTATCCACACACTTTGGATTGATCTGCACACACGCCCTAAAAGAGAGAAATTCAAAAACATACACAATTTTTTTTTTTTAATCATTGGATTTACTGCATGTGTGTATTTGTTGTGGGTTAGGAAACACTGAACCTGGAGTGTTAGCTGTTCATCTCTGAAGCTCCACAGACGATTTTGAGTGCTTTTACAGTCGGACGACTGCGTGTGCAATTGCGTATGAGATTGGGTGAGCTGTCTGCGACAGCGCCAGTAGTTCTGCAGAAGTTCGGTTAATTCGTGGCTCTCCTGTCGAGCCAGCGCACAGAACTGGGTTGTGCATACTTCAACGCCTTCTAGCCAAGCTCGTAACCCTCCTCCAGGCTCCCAAACATTCAGCTGCTCCAATGAGAATGGCTGCAAAAGAAAAAAATAATATGAAGCTGGTATTATTATCAATCACTGATAGCCCATGGTACAACAATGGACCTTTTGAGAGAGAGAGAGAGAGAGAGAGAGAGAGAGAGAGAGAGAGAGAGAGAGAGAGAGAGAGAGAGAGAGAGAGAGACTAACAAAAATACAGACTTTACAAACAGAGTTTTAGAAAAATATTCAACAAAGCAATGTTAAGTATTGTGTGACAATACCTGAACCTCTGTTGTGGTTCTTGGTAATTCAGGATACAGTTTGTTCTTGGAAAGTTCAGCTACAGACTCCAGAGACTGCAAACTTGGAGGAGAAGATTCCTGCTCAGCAATGGCTAAAACTGCAGGTCCTTTCCCTAAATTCTTCACAGCTTCTCTGTGAAGCTCAAACAAGGATCCCTCCTCCAATGCCGGGACCGATGGGTATAGTGAAGGAGCGCTGGGGACATGTTTGATGTCAAAATGCGTTGAAACACATGACACTTCTGATCTGCCCTGAAGCCTGGATGCCAAAAAGCTCGTGCCCTCTGTTTCTTCCTGCTGAGTCTGTTGTGCTGTGGCTTGTGAAGTCTGTGACAAATCTAGAGCGGGTTGTAAAGTTTCAGTTAACGCTGATGTTAATCGAGTTTGTGACGAGGAGGTCTCGTGTGCCTCTGCAGGCAGATCTGAAGCCGGGCCTTTAGTTTCAGCGATAACAGTGGGCTCATGCTTTTCCAGTTGTGGTTCCTGAGGTGGGAGGCATAGGGGGATACTGGTGAATTCAGAGGTGGAAGCATCAACACAAACGGTTGAAGGGGCAGGCTTGTCTTCTGTCGTTTTATGCTTCCTGGCCAGCTGGGAATAGAAACAAAAGAGAAGAATCTACTCAGAAAACAGATGATAGGTCTGATCAAGTAATCATCAATTGATCCATTAGCTAGTGTGCTTATCCTCACAAGGGTCTCCTATCCCAGCTGTCTTTGGGCAGAAGACAGGGTACACCCTGTACTGGTTGCCAGCCACTCACAGGGGCACACATAGACAAACAACCATTCACGCTCACAATCACACCGAGGGACTATTTAGAGCGTCCAATCAACCTACCATGCATGTTTTTGGAATGTGTGAGGAAACCGGAGTACCCGGAGAAAATCCACGCAGGCATGGGAAGAACATGCAAACTCCACACAGGAAGGCCTTATTCAAACCCACGACCTCTGCACCATGAGGCGGACATCCTAATCAGTCGAACACCGTGGCACCATCAATTAATCATCCACCCGATTTCTAATCCGTTTAATCCTCACATGGGTGTGCTAGAGCCAATCCCAGCTGTCTTCGGGCAGTAGGCGGGGAACACCTTGAACTGGTTGTCAGCCAATCACGGGGCACACACAGACGAACAACCATTTGCGCACACAATCATAAGTAGGGACAATTTTGTGTTCCTTTAACCTGCCATGCATGTTTTTGGAATATGGGAAGAAACCGGAGTAACCGGACAAAACCCACACAGGCACAGGAAGAGCAAACTCCACACCTGCCGGATTCGAACCCACGACCTCTGCGCCATGAGGCGGACGTGCTGACCAGTCGGGGCCCCATCAAGTAATCAGCACAACCAAATAATAAAGTGCGAGACAAGGCCTCCACGCACCGTTAGGTTTGCAACTTGTATACTGTGACAATGTTATGGCTTATTTTACACTGGCTCAACTCACAATAAACCACCAAAAACGAATGCGAAATAAAACAAGCACAGACGTGCAATAGTCACCTTTCCACCGACTTTTGCCTTTGTCTTCTTGGGTCGCACAGCCTCCATCTTTAAGCCGTGTCTCACATGACAATATCCTCAGTAAACAATTTACTGACGAAGACGGTCTTGGAAGTAATGTTATGCACACAGAATCGACAACAGCCCATGGGTCAAAGGAGCAAGCAACGTTATTCTTGATAAGCAGCAAGAGGCATGCTGTGCTGACAAGATAAAATACAGTACTGACAGGACTTGTCAACACAAATATTTAGAAGCTCGCTGGCCACAATCAAGAAGCCAATTACAGGCGTGCTTACTTCACAGGGTAGACATAAAGGATGACATCAAAGAGGCTCCCAGAAAAAAAATATATTAACGACGGAGACAAGGCTAAGCTATGATGCTAACGGGAATTGGCTTGTTTGTTCGTCGCGCAGTTTAACTCGATATTAATTGATCTACTAGCGTCTCGAACGCCCTTGTTTTGTTCCTCATGTCATGAAAATAAGAAAACGTGATCAAGTGCAAATGACATGTTACGGTAGTCTCATTTGTTTTCAGTTGTCGTTTGTTTTGTTTTGTTTTCCATGAACGTACTAAATCACGTGGTAACTCCACCTTACTACGGAAGTCGAGAAAAGTCAAATTTTATCATAATAAACTTCCGCGTTATATTGAAATTAGAGTCAAACAGTGACACTTGATCAGTTGTATATTAACACATATTATTCCCATAGCATATTGCTTTATCATAAACTTCCGCGTTATATTGAAATAGTGAATACATTCTATTGAAAGTCAAACAGTGACACTTGATCAATTGTATATTAACACATATTATTCCCATAGCATATTGATGCCATATTATTTTCCTAAAAATTTATTTTTTATTACGTAGTACACAGTTACCGTCTGGAGACGGTGAATTTGGGTATTTTGTTAGCTGCTACTGTAGCTATTATAATGAAAATAATACAATATAACACTGAACACAACGTACTGAAGTAAATATTTAGTTTTATTGTTATTTACATTTTGCATTTTTGTTTTAATAAAATAAGATAACCTTTATTAACCCACAATGAAGACGTTTACATCGTTTCAGCAATAATAATGATACGGGAAATATGAAAAAGTTTGAAAGAGAAGACATTTGTGCAAGAAGAACGTTGCACAAAATAAAACCTAAACTATACTACATGCGTAAACTATCCCATCTACCCAAGCCAATCCAATTGTTTCTACAATATTCTAATTTACTAGGATGCACCTGTATATTTATAATAGTACATATGTTAGTATTGCTTAAAACTGTAGTCCTTGCCTGTATGGTTGTCATTTTCTTTAGCATTGTTCTTGGTGATTGCTGAATTGTTTGCAAACCAGTTTACTCAACATAACGTGCATAGCATCAGTCAGTGCTTTAACTGATAATATGACATACAAATCTTGATCCGCTGTTTTATTTATTCAACATTTCAAATAAAAATACCAAACACAAACATCTATCTACAATGATCACCATGTTGTTAACAGGGACTGACTGAGAGACAAAATCTATACAAACATTTTCCCTTTTCAATGCATATAAAGAAGAGGAATCATATGGCCTGGTCTTCAAAAATGGCACAATTATGTTATTTAGATTAACAACTTTAAAATGTATAGTAAATAAATGACCTGCCTCCAACCATCTTTCACAGTTGCGCTTGGGAGTCATATAAAATATCTAACATGTAAATTGACATAAAAAGAAAAGCAGAAAACACAGTTGTTAAGAGTACCGAAAGGGTCACCTTAAATGAAATATCGTAATCACTTAAATAACTGCTATTGCGTATCGTGCTATCCATATATAATACTGTTTTATTACTGCATGATGACATTATTATGCCAACAGAAACATGCAAGGACATGTTGCTGAGAATCTGTTGAAATTACATTTCATGTATCCTCAGGTAAATTCTGGTTTAGTGCATGCATATGAGTGAAAAGTGAGCAGGTTCGGTAACAATCAGTGGGAATGTTCCCGCCACGATTTTCACAAATTGCTGGATTTGTCTGTTCATAGAAGGGTGGTGATGGACTGCAGGATGGCGTTATCGACACTTCTCTATCATGGGAGCACATTATTTGCAAGGGGAGTTCTTCCTTCTTGCTCTCATGTGTCTGGCTGTGGATCTCAGGTGTGTGGTGAATATATGCTTGACTGAGAGCCAAGGTGAGGATGCCCGTCTTCTCTTTGTAGAAACGCAGCTCGATGCCTCGGCGTCGTGCAAGCAGCAGCTCCTTTTGCGCTGCCTGCAGCTCCTGCCCCAGTTGGCCCGGTGACCTCTGTTCCCGCCCGAGCCAATCCAAAGCCATGCTGCTGCGCATATACTCATCAAGACCACGCTGGGTGTAATAGGCAATCACGCTCTGAATGAGAAAAACAAGGCTTTTGCAGTAGAGATATTACTTTGAAGAAAAAAAAAAGCCTTTTGTCCATACCCGACGAGAGAACTGTCTCTGTCTCAGAGCTTTTAGTGTTCCATTCCAGTGCAGCAACTGAAAAACCGTCATCATCTCCTGTAGTTGTGCAACACAAGTTAATCATGCAGGTCTGTTAGTTTATTTGGCATCATTTAAGAGTAGCTTTGTATTCAAGACATCCCGAAGATAGGTATGCGCAAAAGAAAACAAACTTAGTGTAGTACAGGCTTTTTATTTGTACTACTACTTCTCTCAGAACAAGAGAGTGAGGATGCAGTAGGCGAAAATAGACTACGTATGACAGATATATAATGTAAGGTACCAGTCACTGTTGCCCTGCCTGCTACTTTACCTTGAGTGTACCACTACACCATCAGTGACTTATTTAGAGGGATATTTCACCTGGAATTCCAGCATGGTCCTTCCCATGTAAGAGTGGAGAAGCAGACTGTATGTTCCTATATGCGTGCTTGAATCTTTTGCAGCTTCTATAGAAACCTGGTCAGCGACAACATGGAAGGTTAACATGAATCTGATCGACATAATCAAATACTTTTTCTCCTGTTGGTCGAATGACTGTAAAGTGGTCATTATCAGACATGTTAAAGCTCACATCACTGTCTTTGGTGGCCTGCTGTAGACTCTGAGCGATGAACTGAGGGCAAATGCGTCGACAAGGCAGCTCATTGACAAGCGAGTTCATCAGGGCTACTCGGGCGGCGTCTCGACGAGCCTCTGCCTGAGTGTTGCACAGCTGGGGATGAGTGGGTGGGTTGTGGGAAGAAAAATCAACTTTCTTTCTCAAGTCCAACATGCTCTTTCAGATATGTTTCCATTTTACACTTCGTTGGAGATAATCACGGGATCAGAGCTCAAATCACAATGGAGAGGCAGTCACAGATAGCCAATCACATGGTGCTAGCGGCTCCGGTTTTAGTCACAATGCACACACCACGGGATTAAAGTCACTTTAACAACATTACAGGGACTATTTGGCAAGGATGGCCTATTTGTCACCCCCCCTAAAAAATCTTCATGTAGCTTTGATCAGGAAAATGAAACCAGCTTTCATTTTCAATTTGATCAATTTGTTTTGGGGGGAAATTAGTAAAAAGATAATCTTGTACAACCTCTTTTTCTTCTGCAATTTGGATACACACCCTCCATCCCACATATGTTGGTCTGACATCAGTGGAGGAACTGGACATAATTTGTACAGTCTAAATCACTAAATATACATCGCTTACAATGTTCTAAAACTGCAGTGAATCATCACCAAAATGTATGTAGATATCTCTACTTATGCCCACTTCAACCTCCGAAAATGTCAAAATTACACAAATATGACTACTACTGTTACGTGAGTGCCAATGTTCAGCCCAATCTACATTCCCTTTAATTTTAAGCCACCTTGAAATGGCTCTGAAATGAATCCTCCACGCATCGTAAGCTCCAAATATCTTGCTTCATTAAACGTGAAATAGCCTGATGCTGTACATCATGGAACAAATGAAAATAGATGTGACTTTGTTGTTGAAAAACTTCAGATTTACTTGGTCATCTTGGCGAAACAATTAATGATGCTTTTCATTGTGGTGGCTTTCCTGCAGAAGTCAAACTTGCGCAATACCTGTAAAATGTGGTATCGTTCTTAATTTTAAAGGGTTCAGTTGACATTATTATGTGTTCAAAGTAACATTTAAATAAGAAAACTTTTTTCAGCTTTTCCAAAATGTCACAGTTGATAGAGGATTACTATAATTGCAACTGATGGCTTAAATACATTGACATCACCTTTAGAACATTCATATTTTCTCGTGAATATTTTTAGCCATTAAAACCATGAATGACTCAGGACAAATGAACACTTTTAGTGCCACATACGCAATGCTCTGTGCATTGATGGAGCATAAACACACACACCATTAGATTCATCTAGTGCCAAAGTAAACATGTATAATTTCAACCTTAATAAAACTCTAGTGAAAATATTTTAACTCAGCATATTGCATTATAATTACTGTAATATTAAACTACAGTACATGTTTATATATGCCCAGGTGCTCAGCTCACTAATACATACATGCTAGATACTTTTAGAATCCATAGCAGCCTACGACAAGCACCTCGTGATGTCATTAAACACAGTCAGGTTTGCTACACAAGAAGGATATTTTTTGTTTTAATGACACACCTTATAGTTCCCAAAGCAACTTCCTCCTGGCAGTGTGACGAAGCAGACAAACGGCGGACCGGGGGAAGCAGCAGATTCATACAGGATCAGGGTCTCCATCTGGCCCGCTGGGTCCCCTACGGAAGCATCTGATCCAGTGGAGGAGCCATCCATGTGACCCACCGCCTTCTGTTCCCAGAAGTTATGGAGCATGGCTACTACATTGACTTGGACACAGAAGATGAAGATGCATTGCAAAGTGAGAAAAGAAAATGAATTTGCACCCTTCTAAAATTTAGTTTTTTTGCCTATTTCCCGCTGAATATTTTTTGTTTCACCATTAAATATCATAGCTATAAATTACAACACACGGTAAAAATCCGTAATGTGTCAGCCTTTATAGATCAAACTTAAAAACCAGACGTGGGCATTTCACCAGAATGACGGAAGTCTGTCACTGTTTCCGTCAGTATTTCAGGACGACCCTTGTGGGCCAAGTCCGTCACACACAGGCGCCGCAAAAGCCGACACGCAGCCAGATAAAATAAAATACAACAGGCAGAAACACACGGTGTGATGATTGATGGAATATAAACAATATGGGACACATGTCATTGAAATCTGTGGGACTGAAAGGGATGCAACGTGGTTTTATTTTCTGTATTTGGCTGCGTGTCAGGTGTGTGGCATTTGCGTCCGATGTAGTCCCGCTAAATCCGTTCAGCCGCTGCATCGGACGGACTGGGTCTGCCTGAAATACTTATGGCAGCTCACTGACAGACTCACTGGACACAAGATGGCCACCTTTGTTAAAAACAAAAACATGAAAATGCCTAACGAACCTTATGCGCCAGAAAAAAACAAGACACTTTTTAAATCAGCGTCAAAAACACATTCAGGGACACATAAAGCCACCTCTGATTAATATTTGCTGTTGACAATTATTAGTCAGGCTTCTGCGCAACAGAATGACAACTGGTCCTGACAATCGTTAAAAATTTAACAAAAGCTTACACAAGCATTGCTGACATTGCACCGGAAACTGTAATAAGTAACTAAAAATGCATGTTATGAACTTTCCATTCAATACAAGTTCTTATTGGGCATGGCTTTACGATATCCAATTAACCTACATCATGAAGAGCTGAATGTGGGCTTTAGTAAGTCTTACTAAAGTCTTTACAATACAAACTAAGAAAGTGGATGACAATCTAGTCTTAATACGCTTACTGTAAAGTGGAACTCTAAGTTGAAAGTTTACTTACAGTCTTTAGGGCTGAGATCGACGTAGCTCTTTGACAAGTAGGACATGATGCTGTCCTCATCTCCCACTTTATTCATCTTTGTTCAGATTTCTAAAAATTCAGTCAACTTGTCTCATTCACCTGACTCGGGCTCCATTACCATGCCAAAGCAGGATGGCAACAACACATGGAAATAACTCAAAATCTAATGTGGAGCCCCTCTTTCTTTCTCCACCTACTAAACCTCATTTCGCCTTTCCCCCTCCTCCATCTGTGGGTCCACTGAGTTTCACTCTGGTTTTTGTTTGAAGCAGACCACCTTTGTCACTCTTGCTGCCAATTAGCTGAGAGGGCCCCTCACTTGCTCCACACGCAGAGGTGCAGCCCTGGAATGCTGAGCCCCTCCCATCAAGCTGTGGAGTTGGTAATCCCCGAGCACTCACTTTAAAAGCTTCATCTACATAGTTGCAAAATTAAACATAAGACAACTCAACAACTTCGTGTGATCACGGCTGCGTATATTTGCGTTAAATGGTGTCACCACACCCTATCATCATGATGCTAATTTAGTCCGCCAAGTGTGGGAAGGGGAGTAACAAAACACTTGTCCCACATGTTTTTGAGCCCACTGAGCTTGGGGTTTGAGCTCCATTCATCCTCTTGGAAATGAATAGCCTTTGTTCAAGTTGGAATTCACTCGCTTTCTCAATACCTCCAACAAAAATGGACCAAATTCTGAGAAACCACTCATTCCACTGCCGGATTCACTTCTTCTCTCCGTCGGTCTAAATGTTTTGACTGAAATCAGTGACCATTTCCTACATCTTTCTGGACCATGTTGATATTCTCACACTTCAACTGGAATTTATTTCGCTTTGTGTTGTCATTCATGATTTGACTCAAATACAAGCTAAAGCAGTTGATTTGCTTGCACCCATATTAAATTCCAGACATGCAATAGAAATCAACATGAAAAAAAAAAACAATTTTCAATATTACATGAACATATTTCCCTCCATTGTTGTTTTAAAAAGAAAGACACATGAAGGAATTGTTTGAATGGCAATATTGCTGATGACACAACCTCTTTGGAGTAGTCCATATTTTCATGGAATTGTATGCTGACAGTTGAGCAAACTGGGGAAGATACATCCCATATCTGGACTGAATGGGACGTGACTGGTCCGATCCAGTTTGTTAAGCTTCTTTAGACAGACGAGTACCAGACGAGCATTCAACCCCAAAAAGTGGCGCTCTCCAAACTAGACTGAATGTTGCTTTCGTTCTCTCGTCTAGATTTCGTCACCAAGTTGGCTTCCCCCTTCTGCAGACGTCTCCTCTGCGCCGCCTTTTGTTGTTTGGTGAGCTGTCTGCGCACCTTCTGACGGACCACGTCCTGCAACACACAAAAACAACAACAGTTGGTTACTTACACAACCTGACAGACACCAGACGTAGCCGTTAAACGGTTATTTGGCAACCCCGACTCACAACTGATGGTGTCTGGACATCAGCTTTATTTCTTACTTACGGATGGGATGGTTGAGCAGCTTCCTATGCTGCCCGTTGTAGCCTCACTGTCTGTCCTCCTCCTCCTGTGTTCTGTCATCTGTAGAAGGCTTTCAGAGTCTCTGCACGACATGAAGCAATGATTGCATTAGGTGTCATTTTGCTGAAAGACTGATGAAAGAATCACGAAGGGCTACACGATGCTACTGCTGCACACAAATAATGACATCACTTTTTACTGTCAGTACCTGAAAGGTATGAACTCTTTGTTTGATGCAGAAAGGTCTGCCAGTTCAGGGAACTCGTCCTGCAGCTCTTCTTCCAGGTCATTCATAGTCTTGTCAATGCATCTAGCCTCGGGATTTCTCTCCTCCTCCTCTTCTTTTTTGTCACTCTCCCCCTCTTCTTTTTCACTCTTCGCTTCCTCCCGTATGTCGCCATTTGTGTCGGTGACCTTCAGGCCCTCGAGTTCCAGAAGTGCATTCTTGTAGTCAGTCACATCCACACTTGGCTCTTCGGTTTCAACGTCCTCGCCTGTCTCCTCTTTGTCGCTCTCCTCGTCATCATCGTCTTGCTCTCCCTCAGGTCCAGCCGGATGGAACACCGCGGCATCTTCCTGCAGATCTTTGGTGAAACCACTTGCTGAGACCTCAACGTCGAGAGAACACGAGCGTCTGGAAGAAAAAAAAAATGTTTGGATACACAGAGGGCACTTCATCACAAGATAAAGACACAGACTGATGCAAAGTAATGTAGCTCCTTATAGGCAGAGGAAACACCAATCAAATATATTGATTGAACATTTTGTTAAATCTGAAGCTTAACATTAAAATGTTATGTGTTCATAAAGGGCATGAAGTGTGAAGCAATGTAACTTATTATGAACAAAAACATGACACACATTTAATTTTTCACTACAGTGCAGTTGTATTGCCAGTGAGAAAATACCTGATATCGTTGAAAGTTGGGAACAGCTCGCTCTCGTAACTATAGCGTTTTGCAAAGAAATCTCGTATGCATTTGACATCTCGATCAAAATACCTACCAAGATCAGAGAGATAAGTGAAAAGTTTGCAATTGTTCACTCATCGGAAAGGCTGTGCAATGAAGCGTCCGCGGCCACATGTGCTTACCATTCAGCATTCGGGTGTGAGGTGGATACCATCTGAGGGAAGTCAATCATCGTGATGTGGTCCTGGTCATCTAGCATCAGGTTGAACTCGTTGAAATCTCCATGAATCAGGCCGTGGTTGGCCAGTTTGACGATGAGCTCCATAAACTCGCTGTACAGGGCGGGTGGATCTTGCAGCTCATGCACCTGACACCTGATATGAGGATGGAGATAATTCATGATAAGTTCTGCGGCGAGAAGTGATTACAGAAAGAGAGATGGCTTGTTTCCATACAGTGGATATCCATTGATGAGCTCCATTACGACCGCATGTCTGTTGTAGTCCACCGGCTTGGGTACGGGGAAGCCTCGGTCATAGAGTGCCTGGGAAAGAATGCGTCGATATACACAATGCAACAAATTCAGCTACACTTCGACTGCAACCTGATGAGGAATTATATTCCACATAAGGTGCATAAGACTGACAGTGCGGCACGGTTTGCATTACCTTCATGTAGGCAAATTCCTTCATGGCAGAGAGGCGGGAGAGATAGAGCCAGGACATGTTCTTCCTGTGTTTATGGTAATCTCTCTTATTCTTGAGGTTTCTGAAGGAGGTGCGACCCAATCTGTGAAGCTTCAGAGCGTACTGCTCCCCATCTTGATTTGCCACAATATAAATATCTGAAGGAATGAAACACAAATATATCCGTTTCACACACGGCATAGGTGCACAACTGCCTTGTGACATGATTTGGCTCCAAATATTAAAAGTAAAATTGTCAAAACATGTCTTCATTTGAAACCAGTGCATGGCACACAAAAAGTGGGAAACTGCTATTCTGTGCTGAAAGAAAAACGTCAATGATGTCATCAATTAATCAACTTTTGACTTTTAGCACATTATCGTAGAAGACGAAACCTTAACCTGACTCTTTTCCAACACCCATTTGGTTTCCAACTGAAGCAATAACATCTCTGGAAGACAAGGTCTTGAGGGCTAAGTAGTCATATCCTCCGAAGTTCAATCTGTAGCCTTGTACAGCTGAAATATAATACACATCAAATTAGAACAAAACATAGGACACACATTCTTAGAACAAAACAACCAAAGCATACAAGGTAGCAAAATAATCACGAACTTAGAATGTTATGGCTGCAATATGTTCTAAAGAAGCTGGGACAGGATCAGATTTAGCACTGTGTTACATTAACTTTTCTTTTAACAGCATTCAATAAATATTTGGGAAGAGAGGACCCTAATTGTTGAAGCTTTGTAAGTGGAATTCGTAACTTGTTTCCCTTAGGAATTCCAGACTGCAATGTGAACATTTCCATAACTTCCAAATGGGAGGTATGGAAATGATTTATTGAAGTGTTAAAAAAAAAGAAGAAGTGAAGATTGGTAGATATTTTCACGACTGGAAATGCGATGAATTTATTTTATTTTTTTTTGCAAGATGGCTTTCTTATATTATGTCGCTTTTTGTTTTGTTGAAAAAAGAAAAAAAAGATGAGATTACTCTTTGTGCGTTCGTAGGCCACAAGTTTATGTTTGACCAGCTCTCGGAGGATCTTGTTGCAGCCACCGTGTTTGAGGCTGGCAATGGATGACAGGAGACTCACTGGTACAATCTCGTGGTTCTTCATTCCCATCTCAACCTAAAAGCAGAGATGTGATAATATGCTGACATTTATACAAACATTCAAAAGTTACGTTTGTTAGTGAGCAGAAAAAAACAGTTTTCCACTGTCAAATAAAGTCTCGAGTCAGTGTCAATGGTGATTAATTCAAACATTTTCAAAACATCCACTGTAATGTAATTCGTTCTTCATATCATCCAACCAAACGTTTGCCTATTTGACACTCAATAAAATATCGTACAGTATTTCCCAGTGACAATCTGCGAACCACTTAAAAGGGTCCATTTTACGTTACGACCCAAAATCTGAGAAAGGCTTCCCCTGAAAGAATTCAGCCTAGCCGAAGCTAACTCAGCTGGATATGGCAGACAGCATGGAGATGATAAATATACTTTACCGCCGTGAGAACCCGAAAGTCATCTCGAGACAAGTATCTCAACACCACCACATTAAGCTTTCCCATGTTTTAAACGGAGAGTCTGTGTCAAATAATTATTCCAAATATCACCCTCGTGAGGTTAAGCAACTCGGATAATGTATGGATGAATGTCAAAACAAGATGTACATTTTTTTTTGTAAACACATGGACAAAGCGGAAGTTGAGGAGCGGAAATGACGTCGTGTTGGTGGTGGTGAAGCTTGTAAGTGGACAAAAGGAAAGTGAGCACCATCTCGTGGCCAAAATAACATTCACCGTTTTGATCGGATTTGATTTGGCTGCTGCTGCAAAGGGTACAGTATGGGTATTTTCTTTGTCAGTCATTATCAGAGCATAAAGAAAGCTTTAATTAGCGTAGAAGACTAATTCTACGTGTGTAGACTCACTTAGAATTCATTTATCCAAAATTACAGTCAAGCAAGCATTCAATTACCACGTTAGGGAGAGATGTGGTAGATTTGAACAGTGTGCAGAGAAATAAAGGGAATGAGCAAAAAGACCTTAGCGTGTCAAACTCACGCCCGGTGACCAGATCCGGCCCGCCACATCATTTTATGTGGCCCGTGGAAGCAAATCATGTGTGTCAAGTTTCTTTGCCTCAGCAGCAAATTTGATGGACAGTACATAGCTTGATATTACACCCCTCTACCAACAACCCCCAACCTCATCTCGCCCCTCCCCCATTTCTACCAACATTTACACACACAGACATACACTAAAATAATTTTAGTGTATGTCTGTGTGTGTAAATGCAGCTATGCACTACAGTAATTTCAGTAAAATTACCGTAGTGCATAGCTGCATGCTGCACGCAGAATTTAGTCAGGCATGTCACAATCCTACAAGGTGCTAAATTATACATTCGTTCCCCTTTGTAAAAGAGTGATTAAAACACCAGGGACACGTCAATGCAACTCAATCAGATGTTACACAAACGTAAAGGGAAAAAATGCAAACTTAATGCAGACAGGCCGGAGCTGAGCGTTGAGCCCAGAAAGGGAGAGGTCACTATGTCATCGTGCTACCCACAAACAAGCAAAAACATGTCCTCCAAATATAAAATAGCCTGTACTGTACAGTATATATAAGTCAACCTATCTATACAACGTTACATTTATTGTCAAAAGTTCCTTGTAGTAAGCCCTATTGATGCTAGATGGCGCTGTGACACAGGTTGAGTGAGTACAGAACTGCCTTCTTTGTCCCATGATTGCCTCGGTTTGAAGTCGAGTTTTGAAAATAATTTGTGTTGTGTTCATACACCCACTGGGTGGCCTGTTGTTTGATTAATATTCCTGATGGTTTTTGTGATATTTGGCAGTGATGCTTCTTCTAAAACTCTTTTGCAATTTTCATTATATTATTGGGTGTGGGTTCAAAATAAATTTATTTCAACCTTTTCATAAAACATGTTGACTTGAATGCACTTAATCTATACCATTCCACATATGTATTGTCATCTTGTTTTCCTGTCACAAAAGGCTTTAGTCATCATGCTTCCTCATGTTTTTTTGTTGTTGTTTTTACACAACCTTCACATTCACTCTTTTGGTGCTGAAATGGGAGCGCATGATCACTGTTTGATTTAATTCGATCTGGTAATGATTCCTGATTAAATAATCATATCTCACAGGAAGGCAGTTAAGATTTTTATGCTACAAATACATGATTTAGAATATTTCCATGGTTTGGCTAAAGATAAGATATTGATAAACAAAGTTCAGTGTTTTTCTGCAGCTCAACATTTAGGTGCAAAATGGTTTTCGGAAACCATTTCACAGTCGTTGAGTGAGACAAGGAGAGCAGGCGTAGGGAAGTGAAAATGGTGCAAAATCCACCCTGCACACAAAGCAGTTGCCTTTCACTCCCACTGTGTCATCTTCCTCCATTTCTCTGCTTTTCCTTTTGTCCCTGATGTTCAAAATGGAATTCATCCGGCTGTAGAGCAGACTGAGATGTATTCACCTCTTTTTTAATGTATTTATGCACTCATCTGTGCCCTTTATACCCCACGTTTATTGTTTAAAATATGCTTGACCCCTATCTATTTCGGGTCCATAGGGGGGATGAATATCCACCGTGCACCTCCAGTGGTCTTTGATGAGAAATTAATGAGCCTCTCGTTAGCTGCGGATGAAAGTGCAAGCTAGATAGGTCAAAGTGATGAAAGAGTCTTTAGTGATCCAACTGAAGCCAAGTGATCACGATTTTTTGACGTAGATGAACGACGGAACCTTTCCCATGTCATTTCATTCAAACCATGAAAGGGATATGTGTACATATGATGTTCATAATGCATGAACGCTGTTGAATCCCAAATCAGCCCGACAAATATGTGCTTTGGATGACACTCAGTAGTTTGATGATCATATCTCTTCATTTTAATGCCACTCATGAGGAAAAAAAACGCAACCAGTTTGGATTATTTAGTGCTGTGTTATTGCATGTTCTCCGATGTAAAAATATGGTCATGATAAATCATTCCAAACCTAAAAAAAACAAAACAAAACAAACAAAAAGAAATTACCTACAACATGTGCACTTGAATTGGAAAAAGGAAGAACTGCTCAAGGGGGACTGTAAAAAACAAAACATGTGGAAACTCAAACAGATGATTATTAAAATGCTGTTTTCTATTTCAGTTCGTTGGAGTCTGTGAGCTTGGCACAGCTTCAACTGGCAGTAAGTGGCCATTCTTCCTTGCAAAATCTTTCAGTTGTGAGGACACCTCTTGAATACTGACCTCATGGTTACCTCAGTCTGGTGAAGTCATTGTTTTGTTGATTTGTACGCATGTTTGGGATATTTGTCATGCCTAAAGGTGAACTTAAGCTTGAGGTTTTTGGCCCAAATTGACTGCTATTTGGAGCTGTTCTCTCCATCTTGACTAAAGTCAACAATGGAGTGGCTTCACCAGAAGAAAATTGCACATTCATAGGATTACCATTTTTTAAATACTTTGGAAACGATTAATGAATGTCTCATTTCTTGACTTTTTATATGCACCGTAGCTTTGAACGTCTCGTCCCCATCAGTTTCGCAGAGGATGTTTGCGCATTTACAGATACGACCAATTTGAAGGCTAATGTACACACCTAGACTCATACTTTGTGGGGACGATCCATTAAATTGTTTTCTTGTGTGCCAGCAGTGAGAAGTGCTGGGAGAATACTAAATGGAGGATACTGGAGAAGCTCAGGTAAGTCAAGAGCAGGCTTTGTTTCTTAATGGTATCACTGCTGTTGTCTTTGTCCAGCGGCTGAGCGTGTTCGTGTGTGTGCCTGTGTTTGGAAACATTGCATATGATTAGATCAGAGCTCAGGATAGCAGATCTACTTACGCTGTTTTGTTCTTATGGAAACCCCCTTCCTGAAACAACATTTGGCTTTCACGAGTGACAAGGCAGAAGCTAGTAAATGAGGAGCTTGATTTGAAAAATGAGGGGGTGGCATAACCTGCACTGGAACCTTCCAGTATAGCGTAACATTTTGGTGTATACATCGGCACACACTGCTTTACCTCTTTTGGCTTTTGGATTCTTGTCTTTCTATCTTTTATTTTATTACCTGAGAGTTGAAAACAAAAAACTGAATTGCCAAGAGGGGATAAAGAAGGTTAAAAAAAACCTGAATCAGGAAGGTATTCTACCATGGCAAATGCAAAAGACTTCCTCCAAAAATAGAAGACATATGTGTCATAATAAATACTTTTCATTTTTGAATTTCATTGAGGAAACGCGGTCGGTTGCTTGATGACAAGGTACAATTAATGCTCTTTCTGGGGAAACACATGCACTTTGCACTCACTTTTTTTAGACTTGGGGCTCTAGTTGCCAGCCGCAAGCTCTACCCCTCATCACCATGGTAACAAAGGAGAAAGGAGAGAATCATGGAGGAGAATCAAGAACAGATTTAATGTCTTTGTATTTCAAACCAATTATTGAAGTAAAATTCGATGAAACTCGCCAACGGGTGAAAACACGCCATGTTTGTGGTTTTCAGTTACCCGGACGATGACCAGGAAGTACACCAACGCCATTAAAAAAAGTTTGTGATATCTCACAATCTTTGCGATGCAATGCAATCTTTGCGAGGGAACGCAATACTTTGCGAGGGAATGCAATGTTTTTTTTTCTTCCATGTCCCCTTAGGGGCTCCGTAGTTTTGGCTTTTACGGTATTTTAGTGATGTTCCACATATTTTCAAACTGTTCAATATATTTCTCAAGTCCTATTATCTTCCCATGCTTTTGTTGCCCTTGACTGTTGACAAAAATGACCAAATGAATAAAAATGATGAATTAGATGTTGGCAAGGGAAGGTCTTTGAAAAAAAAAATCTTCCAAAATGTGTGCATGTGTGTTTTAAGTACAAGTGATGTAGCAGTGTCCTATAGATAATACGATACCATGTCAGAGTGATTGAGAGTGTAGTGAGCAGTCACCCCCCCCCCCCCCCCCCCCCCCCCCCCCCTTGTTAATCCCTGGTAATGGGATCAGTGAGTGATCGCTCGTGCGTCAGTCACACTGCAGCTGTAACTGTGCACAGCCATCCAAAAACACACTCACGCACTCGCCCGCACGCATGCACACGCACACACCATCTTGAGGCTGAACATGGATTTGTATCACAGGAAGAGGCAAGCTGCTCTGTATCTCAGAGGTTGCTGTTGTTCAGGCCATCAGATAGCAGCTACATGATGTGTGTGCGTGTGTGTGTGTGTGTGTGTGTGTGTGTGTGTGTGTGTGTGTGTGTATGCTCATTGTTGTCTATGCGCTTGTGTGTGTCGGAATCACCGCACGCGTGTGAGTGTGTCTGTGTGTCTGCTTCAATAACATTAACTCCCGCAGGCGTGAAATGAGAGCGTCCCCCTCGATCTGTTTTTAGGAGCTGAGTGAAACCAACCCAATATGTGGTTTAAGCCTTTCACACTGCTTGATACTGAGCTGAATAACTGGGGCGAGGCTCGACATGTTTGATTCCGATTTCAGTCTTAATCTGACACTATGCACAAAAAAATAAAATAAATATTGTGTGATATTTCATCTAAGGTTCTGAGAACGAGTTATTTCCTCAGGGCTTTTGCTCTGGCAGTGGGGGAGTCGGTGAAACATGCATGCTTGCACATACTGTACGTATAATATTTTCCCGTAACAGCTGTTTTGAATTTATTTG